TAATAGATAATCAGCATGGACAGTTTGAATCCCTTTAAAAAGTAGTATCTCTTCTTGAACCACCATATAGAGTACCTCAAAAGAATCTCAAAACAAATTAAATTCTGTTCCAGAGTGTAAACCACAGAATTCAGGATTTCAGACCCTTAAAGGCGTGTTCCTACTGGGTTTATATGAGCTAACAGAGTCAGTTCCATGTGTTGACTAGCTCCGCTATGCCTGCAGTTCAGATTTTTCAACTTGCTGCCCTATGGGAAAAAAATGGTTTTGGAGATGGGTTGGCTACGTCAGTTGTCTCCCTTAGCTCAGATAAACCCCAGTGAGAATGGCCCTTTACAGTGGTTTAAAGAACAATGTGGTAACCTACTACACATAGCAGATCTTCTTTCTCTGGCACATCTTTATCACTTAAAGATCACATTCTACTGGTCAACCTGATGGATTCAGAATGTACTGTACAGTGTAAAAATATCTACAGTCAGACCACTGTGCTCAAAAGAACTTTTCATTTGCTGTAAGAAGAAAAGGGATATACACACTCTTCAAAAAGTCATTGAACAAGAAGAATCGCCTCAATTCTCCATTGAAAAAAAAAAAGTCCCAAGCCCAAATAAGAAACGGTTATAATTCACAATGCTTCCTTTAACTTTACAGCCACAGATATAATCAAGGCATTTCAGGACACTTCTAAAACAGCTCAAAGTATAGTATTCCCAAGAACATCATAAAGAAAGTTAAAAACATTGAACAGGTGGCTAGTAAGATATTACTCCATGTAATAGAGGAACATCTGCTCTCCCCTTGAGAATTCTCCTTAGATTTTATTTTTACCCAGTTAGACTTTTTCAGATTTCCAGGTGCTTCAGTTCTCAAGCTCTTGGTCACACGAGCAGTAACTGCAAAAATCCAACAGCCTGTTGTGTCTCTAGAGGAACACATCAAGACTGCACCCAACAGTTAAAACATGGCATAAGCTGTGGTCACAGCAACAGAGACCAGGATAACAACTGAAACACTGAATATGGTACTTACGAGGGAAAATATTCAACCTACAGAGAAGCACTCAGTCATAAGATCAAGGCTTTCGGAGACAAAAAGAAAGTATCATACGGCCATTTAGAATAAAGGTTCTACAGGCAAACTACTTGCAACACTCTAGAGCAAAAATACAGTACATCAGGGATGTCAAACTCATAGGTACACTTGGGCCAAACAAACAAGGTTTAACTTTAGGCGGGCCGCAAAAAAAAAAAAAAAAAAAAAAAGAAAAAAAAAAAAAAAAAAAAAAAGAAAAAGAAAAGGGGAAAAAAATCAATATTCATAGAAACGTAGATTTATTTCGAATAATACAATAATAAACACATATATATATATTATATAGAAAAGAACCAAGAAAATTTAATGTGACGTGATACTGACATCTCTTTCTCTGCTTATCTTTCCTATTTCGGGAAGAGAAATTTGTTTGCAGTGATAACTTTCCACGCGACTGACCAAGGTAGCTTCTCACACGCATTTGTAATTTAAGTAGTGTGTGTGTGTCAGCTCGCTGTGTGTAATCTAAAACACTGAATAAATTATGTTAATTACTTAGCAGTAAACATTTCATTTTTTCGTCGATATTGTTATTTATATATTATTATTTGCCGATATATTGGCCGGACCGCAGAAATATTTGTTGTGGGCCGCATGCGGCCCATGGTGAATAAAAACAGTACACTGCAGTACATGGTGAATAAAAATATTAAGTGTGGCCTTATCCAAGAACTAACTGCACTATCATAATGGTAAACTTACTGGCTTTCCAAATTCTTTTTTTCATATCAATCTACAAATACCAAGGCAATAATTGTGTACATTGCCCCTTACAATCCTTTCCTACTCGAGCACATATATTCCTCAGTTAAAATTAAATTGAAGGCTCCCCCCCCAAAAAAAATGCCTTATTCTGCATCTCCTCCACGTGAAACTTTACAGAAGCTCTCACAGAGTTAAGTGCACAAAATCTTTCTCAAAGACACAAAATTATCTTGGCAGGAGATGCAAATGTCAAAAGGCATAACGAGGATGCCTCATAAAGCATTTATGAGAGTCAGAATTTCTTCAATTCACATATTCAACAGTATCCACTATTCTCAATTCCCAAGATTTCCCTCCTACTTTTATGACTATTTTAGCTACAGGATGGCCTAATGTCACTTTAGCCTGTCAAGACCTAGCTAAGACAGTTCAGGACTGGATAGTGAAACAGGATGTGAACCTTGAGTGATCACAACTAAATTACTTATTCAGTATATCAGAGCTATGATATTATGATGAAAGTTAGATTCAAAACAAAATATGGTGGTCACTCCCTCCTGCATAAATATCTTCTCAATAATATCACAGAACTTCAAGAAGAGATTGATTCCACTGTAACTCCAGAGGATTTGGATAGTGCCACTGAGAAACTCATATATCTGAGCTGCACTCATATATACCATCAAGGACAGCTGTAAATGAGCTGAAATCATACTTCATGCAATACCTCAGTTCAATTGAAGAACACCTCATTGGCAATCAACTGTCAAAAATGTCAAGTACTCAAAAGTCATTTTCAGGCATGGCAAAACCCGAAAAATATGTAAAAAGATATATTTAAAAGAGAAAGAGCCATTTTGGATGCAAAAAATTCCACATGGAACTCCTTTTATACAGAACAGTCATTAAGTTTGGATGATGAAACAGCTACATCAGTCAAAATCATTGACAAATAATGAACAAAAATTGGAATTGCGTGGAAGTAGGGATAAACAGATTGATACAGATAATTAAATACATAAATGATTATTCTGATGATTTCTAACACCTCTCAAGACTGAAACGAGCATAAACATTAATTACTGTGAACATTGTAAATCCAATTATGTAATAACTGTAATACATTTTAATAACTGTAACACCTAATATCAAAGTTCTGAGCTCTGTTCAAAATTCATATGTGAAGACGCAGCTTCAAATTTTGTCTTCTGGAAAACATCATTATAAATATCTGTACAATTCCAGTGTCTACAGGCTCTAATTCCATATAACATGTATCGAACTGCATCTGGACAACTACTTTTGTAATTCTACTGATGCACAGAAATAAAATTTACATGACCCTGCCTTTGGGCTTTGCTTAGCTAGGTAGTATATAACTTCCTACTGGCTGGGCTTGAAGAAAAATAGCATGTGAGCCATCCAGTCAGTAGTGCCCCCCCCCAAAACAAACTTTCTGTTCAATTAACTCATTATGCCCCTAATAATTCAAATTAGTGCCATCTTATATGATAGTACAGGTTAGGGGAATGAATTCATGAAGAATTCAACAAAGCTGGAAGATGATTGAGGAAATTTTCTATCACTATATCTGCTTTCAGAAATTTTGCTTTTGCATGCTATACAATCAAAACAAGTACTACGACTGCACCATATTGGATGTTATGTTCCCTGCATCTGATATAAGGTTTGCATCTATGTTCTATCTCTGCATCAGGATAGTCCAATGTAACAAATGGCAATAACCGTTATTACAATAAAAGTGCAATTGCAGGTCTTGGAACATTTTTCAGAGAATGTGCTGCCACTTCATATGTAATTAATACCATTGCATATGAATGGAGTGATATAATACCACTACAAACTGAATTGGCATCCATGTAAAATTCATGTAATACAACTGCATGTGAATAATAACCTTTGTCGCCAAGGCATGAATGCACATGCCTTGCTCTATGAGAATTTGCCTTACTATTCATGGAATAAAAACCTTGCATCCGTTACAAGATAGATTCATGGATTCAATCCCAATAATTTTCATTATCATAGTCATCAATGACAGAACTAAAATAATGGCTAGCAAAAAATTTCATAGACCTGGTAACGTGTTCCTTATTCTTTACAAATCTTACATATTTAGATCTATGCATACTGCCTAATACACAAGACCATTGAATTTCTGCTAACTTGTATGCAGGCAACACTATTTTAAACTCTGTTCTTCTAACCTTGAGTTTTCAAAAAGGATACAAATTTATGCTCAAACAGAGAAACCTTAGCTTTAGCCTCATAATATCAACAGATATCAACTTTCTCATTACTGTAATAGCATTGCTTGTAGAGTCAGTACAATAACATTAAGTTTCTGTTTGACAAGTAATAAGATGTGCATGTCATTAGATGTCAATGATAAGATAACCTGTAATGGATATTCAGATAACTATCACACTAGATTGGAATAGTTTCCACAAATAAGAAATAATAGAAGTTGTTATTACGAAAGAAAGAATTTGACAATTTTTTCAATAGACTCAAGTTTCTTTCTCAGTTTCTTTTTTTTCTCAAGTTTCTTTCAGTTGTATTACTTGTAACGGATGCAAGGTTTTCCAAAACACACCAGCAACAAGAATTTTCCAAACATATTCTTTGTGTTATAACAACAGTAATATAATTCAAAATTAACATTAAAACTCTGTAAATTATCTTCAAGTACTCAAATGCTATAGCTAGTAAAAAGAGTCATTTCCACCACATGCTTAACTTATTTTTTCAGATGTAAACAGCTCTTGAGTATATTTGAAATTTCTACATTATGAATGGCCACAGTAAATTTCATGGATGCATTAATTATTTAAGAATTTGTCTTACATATTTAATTTTAGGAATTTAACATAAAATATAATGACTGATGATGCTAATTTGATATGCTAGCAGTGTATAATATCAAATAAACTTGAATACAAGGTTACTTTTAATAGTTTAAAATGTTATGCAATGGTTTGACAGGCTTGCAATTTACAAGCTTGACAGTTTTAAAATTTCATATCCCATTTCTTTGAAATCTGACTTTTGAATTTACCCTTTTCCAAATGCATAGATATATATATAATAGATATTTTTTCCAAATGCATAGATATATATATAATAGATATTTTATGAATTTAACTTTGAATATGACATTTTACATTTCCTCTATTTACTTAGAATTTCAAGCATTTCGATGCAATTATTGAACACAAAGAATAAAAACTAACTTGATTTAATTCTAAAGATTTTCCAGCTTGCTGATCTTGCTTCAGTTTTTCAATCTGATCTAATTTCTGCAAACAGAAAAAATAAAAAATTAAATGATTAAATTTTGTGCAGGAAAATAAGTATCAAATTAACATAAGCAAGTGACCAAATACCATACATAAAAACTGTAAAAATTCCAAGTCAATTAGATGCTTACGATGCAAATTATTTCATAAAGTATGTTTTACATATTGCCATTGAAACAAGTCAATTACTTTGTTTATGACTAACCCAGATACACTGGAACATTTTATTTTGCTATTAGAAACTATAGTTTTCACATTTGCAAAAACCAGTCAGTATATAATGAGGCCTGACTGCACAGCATTCAGTATTAGAAAAAATGTTGCATTATTTCACTAATCACAAGGAAGCTTGTCAAAGCATTAACATACATAATTTTTGCATACAAGCATTAATATTTGTTTAAAAAAATATTATTATTGCATACATATTATTTCCAAATTACATTCAGTAATTACTTATTTTCTATGGCATTAATTTCTAATAATTCTATGATGAAAATAAAAGCAAGTACCTTTAGCAGTGCTCTAATTTTCTTGTCCTTTTCTGGATCACCTGTAAGTTCTCTAGAATACTTTTCATTCTGTACAGCTTGTTCAGGTTTAGATTTTTCATCATTGTTTTCCTGCGAAATAAAACAAATTTTTATATTAAATTTATAATTTCAAAATAAAAGTATTTTAAAGTAAAACTTTTTTCAATCGGTCTAATTTGAATTATATTATTACTTCAAAACGGATATAAATTAATCACAACATACATGCAGAAAAGCAGTCCGATATATAATTAGCTAAGAATTAACTAAAACATTGTAACTATGAATATGGGTTAAGAAGTTTACTTTCTCACCTATCTATAGAATAATCTCTAACATCCAAACAAAATTTTATAATAAAGAAAATAGAAGTTTGCATGTCAGAAACAGCACCTTTCTAGAGTTGCTTATAGCGTTTCACTGAATTATAAGGAATAATTTTCTTATTCTATCCCAGAATAACAAAAAGCTCTGAAAACGTTTGGTGATATCAAATATTTAAATCAAAGTCAGTCAGCATTATTTTAGAAAAAGCCCGATTTTCTGTCAAAATACCTACATTAAAACAATGTTATGTATAAATTCAATACATCATCAAAGTCGCACTTTCGAGACATGAAAAACGCAAGTTGAAATTTTTCAATCGGCTCAATAGAATGGGAGATATAGAACTGTCCCTCCCCCCTTTCCCCCCCCCTGGTGCAGTGTACATATGGCTTTTCATATTACAATTGTCTCAATCTCTTGTTTGCTCTCAATCTCTTGTTCTTCAGTTTAGTGCCTCGATCTCTTGTTTAGCGGTTTTTATTTGAATCTTTTCATATAATTTTGCATCTTTTGTATTTTTTGTTTCTGCTTAAATATTGTAATTTTATGCATTAGTTTTGTTAATTTGATGTCTTATGGGTTACGAATACAGGTCGGAAAAAGGTCTGAGCATTTGAGAACCATTCAAAATTTATTTCTAAAGTAAAATTCCTATATCTCAAACGCCTCAGATGAACAAAACTTGTATTCGGAACTCACTGATCAACTTGGTTCAGGGCTTTAAAACACTTTTTTCTTGACAAGTTCTGTTTGAAGCATTGAACTGAGGAAATTAATATTTAATTTTGGTCTTTTTATATATAATGCCTTCCATTTAAAAATTTTCATACGACTTTCATCGAGATTAAATATGATTAAGACCTTCATGTGATAAAAATTGTAAACTAGGATTAAAGATTCAACATTTTCTCTTCTTTTAAAAAAATGTGCATATTACATATGTACCGTTTATGAATTTCTAGTTTTGGAAAGAGTTATTATTTCTCATTGTACACCTAAATTTATTGACACTAAATTTTTATGAAATAACATTTTAGGCTATTGAAAAAGTACTGAAGGATACCTACAAATGATTTTTCCAATTCTTTCTTTGCTTTCCTAGCTAAATTTTTCTTCTGATTTTTAGACAGTTGCACATTTGATGCATCTAAAATTAATTTAATTTTAATACATTTATATTGAATAAAAGAATATGCATAATAAATTAATTTTAAAGTATATAAAATTACAGATATGTATTATGTTTTATAACTTAAAAATAAAATATGATACAAACACAAGATACAATATTTACATAAAAAACATAAAAAGAGAGAAACAAAAATCCATCAGTTAAAAAATTAGTAATGCTTGAAATAAAAAATTTATGGTTACCACTTGAGGAAATTTTAGGTGGTTCTTCTTCATGAAGCCTGAAACTTGCTGGTTTGCCTTGAGCACCTGGTGGCCGATAAACTTCTTTGGAGACTACAAAGAGGCATTAATAAAAATAAATTAATAAAATTTAGAAAAATAATAAAATAAAATTTAGATTCAGGGCATTTTTTTAACCCTTTCCAGACGAGCCTCCCATATACGCATTCCCTAAGAACATCTCTCACAGCCTGGAGTCCCATCCACACATTGCTAGAGATTGAATTCAGGAGACTAGTGATGCATATACGCATTTTAAGCTGGAGTATTTTCCTGAAGACCACTAGATAGTACCATATGTCCATTACTTTTGAAATTAAATACAGTTTAAGGTTCCTGATCTTAAGTTTGATATATTTTGCCTGACTTTGGTATTTTACTGTGCGAGTGGAGGGGGTGAAGAACAGAGGCAGGCTCTTTAAATTGCCACATGCTAATATACACATGTGCTGATATAAACATTTGCGTGTCTGATTTATATCCAATTCCTTTTTTTATTTTATTTTTTCCTCTACTATGTACGCTCTTTTAGAGTTACTATGTGGAGCTCTGTTACATTTTGCATTGCTTTCAGATATATTACGAGTCCTTCCCTTTTTATTTTGGAAAGCCTCACCTTCAGTCTATTATGGCGTGAAGATGCTATTTATCAGAGGAAGAATACACTTGTATGGTTAATGAACCATTTGAACTAACACAGATGAGAGTAATGATTCATCTTCTAAAGAGTTAGAAAGTGATTCTCCTTCTAAGAGTTAGAAAGTGATACTTCTCTGTGCAAGATTTACACTCAGTCTTCACTTGAAATTTTGTTATGTCTTACTGTAAATAGTCTTTATTGTGTTGTTTTATTAATTTTAAACTTTATTGATGAATTTTATCAATTAAAAACTTTGGAATAATTTGAATAGCGCTTCCGAAATTTGTTTTAAAAGATAAGCAATTTTTTAAATATATTTTCATGTAAAGTAAAGAAAACAAGGATATTAAATGCTAATTTTAACATATATAAGAGCTCAAGTAATAATCTAAAATATTACCAAAAATTACGATGCTAGGAGTAAAACTTTTTTTCCGATTTTCTTTATAAAATTAGGCTTAGCGATGCAAAACCCCATCCTATGGGATGATTACCTTCGATTCCCTTCTATCCCAAGTGATGACTCCTATTGACCAAGACTTCTATCGACCCAAGTGATGGAAATCAAGAGATGAAAGGCTTATTCAATCTTGCCCAGCCCGGGAATAGCAAATTTATGGAATTCTTAAATTGTTTTGATAGTACCATCAGTTCAAATAATTCTCTTAGAAAAATTCTATTATAGTTCGACCGCCTCATCCGCGACCATGAGCGCAAACACGCATTCGCTATTTGAACCGAATTATTCTCAAAATAGGGTGGAAGGATGGGGACTTTCTTTCCCTCCAGCACAGCTCTTTCCAGAGAAGAAAAGACCTTTCACGTTGCAGCAAGTAATACTGCCCCTTTTTGACGAATCTATGTGTTTTGGCAGAATGGCAACCAGGGTTGCGCTTCAGACGGTCGAACTATACTTAAAATCCTTTCTTTCTGGCCCTGTATATAATGTTGTCACTGATTTTGAATTAAATGAGAAAAACTTTCATTAATACCTTGAACTCTTAAAACAAAGATTTATATTATAAATGTTTACATGACAAAATGATTAAACTTATAGCCCTTAAAAAATTCTTCTTATGTTAAAGATTTACATAAATTATACGATGAAATTAAAGTTAACATAAGAAATTTGCATTCATTAAATGTAACACAGTATTCATACGAGCATTTATTGAATCCAGTATCATCAAACTTCCTACTACAAGATTTGGTTTTAGATTTTCAAATAAAACGAAACAGGGAAGTGAACTGTGAAGTTTCAGAAATTATAGCATTATTGAAAATTGAAATGGGATAGAGGGAAACTGCCGAAACTGGGATGAGTCTTCCCAAAAATTATGAAATGAGACAATCCCTTTATCAAAATTATCAAAGTATTCAAACTTACCAAAAAAAAATTATTCAAATCCACATCAAACATTTCAGTGATATGGTTCCTGAGATGTTCCCGAGATGTGGCAGTTTACATTCCTGAGATGTGGTATTTTTTAAAACAGTACCAGTACCTACCTTCAATCTTTAAGTTATTTATCTATTTTTTTACATCTGATTTTTCACAATTTACGAATTGTGATGACCAATGTGTGTATTTGAATACACATATAAAAAATGTTTGTTTAATCTACGATGGTCATCACAATTCGTAAATTGCGAAAAATCAGATGTAAAAAAATAAATAAATAACCTACAGATTGAAGGTAGGTACCGGTACTGCTTTAAAAAATACCACATCTCAGGAATGTAAACTGCAGTCACTGCATGTAAAAAAATTTAACGCATTTCTTCACCACTTTATACAAAAAAATAGCCCTATTAATCCCACGATGAGAGAGCAAGTCGAAAGTAAAACTATTTTGAACGACTTACAGTCTAAATCTAATAAAAATGCTGAGAATATTTCTTTGTCTCACAATATTTGTACCAAAAAAAAATCTGATGTGTACACCACATGACTTCCTTGTATGGAATATTAAATTATATGCATTTTTCCTTGCATTTTAATTAAACTTATTAGATTGAATTAAACCTACTTCGCCGACAGCGCATAAACCACAATAGAATAAATGAATTCTTTAAATTTCACTTTATTTGTTTACCATAGTGACACTCTGGCGCTAGGTTCACTTAACAGTATTATATTTCGTTCATATTATTGTTGTGCAAGATAGAAAATTTCTTAAATTTTTGCGCTTTCCAGAATAGGTAGGGAATTCAACCCAAAATCTTCGTTTAAATCATTTCCCATTTGGTTTAATGACTTTGCCATTTTCTTTGGCTTGTGTGCTGAAATTTCACATTAAGAAATTTAAATAGTATCCCCAAAATGTTAGTGAAATGTTGATGATATGTGTTACGGAGGCAATGCTGTTCAAGGATGCTTATCAGTGGACCTCTACAGCAATTAAGTAGTGGGATTTTATTCGAGGAAATTAAAAATTAATTGTGCAGAACAGCATACACTGAGGTGAAAAAAGATATAAGGAAAATACTGATTTCAGGCAAGGGTCAGGTTTCTTGGGATTGAAGTGGTAGATACAGGATAAAATTAAATTTGAGAAATGTTTGATATTCCATTGATGCTAGAATCATCAGACACATTCTAAAAGTTATTAAAATTTATTACATTAAAATTTCAAAAACAGAAACCATACAATCAATATCAGAATAAAAAGTGAGCTGCAAGTGATGGTAGACATTGTAACAGGAAAAAAAAAATTCTGGAGTAAAAATAATAATAAAAGTCAATTCAACATTTGAAACAATTAAATCATGAAGCAATTCTCTTTATGTTCAATTCTTGACAATAATGTGAGGGTTTTCCATTTACTTCCTTAGATATAACATAAATACACACTTTCCTCTTTAAGCAGATAATTTTTATCTTTAAAATAATCACTTTTTAATTAGTCTCTGATAAATGAAGTAATTCAATTATTGGCTATATCCCAATGTTCTCAGAAAATCTAATTTATAATAGCATTATTCACAGCTTCCTCGTTTTTCTGGATAAGTTTCAAGAAAGTTTGTAATATTGCATTTTATTACAATCTTGAGTAGAAGTATAAATATTTTAACATCTCGATGAGGGATATCAACTGATAATAATAAAAAAAAAAAAAAAAACCTTTATCTTCCATATATAAAGTAACATATTTGCCAGTATACAAGACGCACCCCTTTTTATACACATTTTTGAAGGATAAAACTTTATTACTGATCATTATAATGAATTTCCAATATTTTAAATATAAAATATAAAGTAATACTTCTGTCTGGGAAGGAACACCTTGTAATCTGCTTCGTCAAAACCCAGACACTCATCTCCAGACCTAAATGAAGTCTTACTTGAAACTTTTTCTAAATCAGCATATGAGGACTCAGATAATAAATTGTCCTCTACACCAGTGTTTCTCAACTGGATTTACTCCAAGGACCAGTAAAATATTTCGGTACATTCTCGACCCATTGGCACAATTTTTTCACATAAATAAATCATCATCAATCATATTATTTTCTAAACTAGTAAACTATTGTTATTGTAATGTAGGCAGTGTTGTAATATCGGTTGTCGGCCGATGACACTGAATTTTGGACAGATAGCTGGATATTTTGGGGACTCGCAAATATGAACCCATCGGTCCGCAGTCCGGTGTCAGGCTGCGGACTGGCGGTTGAGAAACACTGCTACCTCTTCTTGATTCCGCCAAGTTCTTATCATTTTTTCAGCTGGGGGTGGCCCAAAATTCTACTCTGCAGCCCTGTTTCATTGTTCTTTAGCATGTGCAATCACACATAGCTTATATGCTATGTTATAGTAATGTCAACTTTGTTTTTGAGCCATAACTTGCCTACAAACTTGAGAAAAATTGAACAGTAGAAATTTCAAACACTTAAAAGTTGTTCATAAAAATTGCAGAGTTTACACGAACCCACTTGTGATTGTCAATGACAGCACATGCGCATTCATTGAACTCTGTGTAACTGTAATATTCCCACACTTTGCAGGGAAACAAGAAAAACAAAATCGTATAACTTCGAATGAACTGAATATTGACGTATGAGACACAGTATCGATGTGTAAGATGCACCCCATTTTTTAGACCTATTTTCAAAGAAAAAAGTGCATCTTATATGCCAGCAAATATGGTAATAACTAAGAAAGACATATTATTTGATTTTTCACCAATACTTTGCATTCAATGTTATTTTATACGATATGTATCATGAATGAAACTTTATATAATTTAAAAAAAAAAAAAAATAGCATGCACAGAACAAAATTAAATACAGAAAAATGGAAGTAAAAATTATTACCTTGAGCAAACTTTGACTTTATGCCAGGCACTGGTGTATATATAGCGGGTTTTCCTACATATGTTCCTTCAAGCACAGGTTTCCACCTGATATCATACAGTTCTTCATAAGTATCTAAAATAATTTCTTGCTGCAAACTTCCAGTGTAGTGCCATATTCTGTATCTATAAAAGTAATCACACTGCATATGAATTCAACCTGAAAATTCAAAATTTATTAAATTGCAATACATGAAACTTTTTAAAGTGTTTTATATTTAAACACAAAGCACTGGTCTCATCAATTACATATATCAAAACTTCTCTACTTCTTGTATTCATCCTAATAATATATACATATATAAAACAAAGTCAATAAACTACTACCTGCAAGCAAATTATACAGCAATTAATCTAGAATGCTTAAGTAACTATTTACATTTAATACAGCAGCAAACTTACCCTTCAAGTAATTAAAATGAAATAGAATTAAAGTGAATTAATAAGAGGAAGACCCAAAAAATGTTAAATAATTAGCATTTAATTAACTATACCCTTTTTTAAGAAAAACCTTGTTAAAATTTTCATGTTAAAAAAATTAAGTATTAGTATTTTTTAATAAGGATAAGCAATTTTAATTGGAACTAAACACAAAACAAAATCAATTAATAAAATAAAAATTAAAAAATAGCTATATAGCTTATTAGGAAGAAAAATAGTTATATAGCCTTTTTTTTTCATTTGTAACATATTGTTTATTTGTAACAGCATAATTTATTAATATTTCAAATAGTTTTAAATATTGATATTTAAAATATAAAATTAAAATTTATAATCTTAAAACATCAAATTTTACTCCATTTATGTTTAATAAAAATTATAAAATAATTATTCATTATTTCATATCAGATTTTTCACCATACACACTTATCTGGTTATTCATGCTTCAAAAGAAGAAATGAATGCAAAACAGTTTAGCATATGCAAGTTGTAATTTATGTTATTTAAGAAGTGTTTTTAATGATTTGGTAACTAAAGAATTGTGATTTTAGAAATTTTATTAAGGATTTTATTTCTGTACATTAAAATCTAAAAACAATTAAAATATACCCATTTCCAATTCGAAGTCTTGGAGATGTGGTTGCAGTTAATATGAATTCTCCATCGTAACTCCATTCCAAAAGTGTAGAATCTGCAGCCTGAAATTTGCTGATTTGCTTTCTAAGTTTTAAATCCCATACTTCAATTTGTCCTTGAAGGTTACCAAATCCAGATAATGATAATCTTATGCTAATTAAAGATTCAAATTATGCACTCCACATAATGCCTTTGGTGTCCAATCTACTATTAAAATTATCAGATTAAAAAGTAAAGTGATTAAAGCAGGTTCAGATAATGAGAACTAAATGCTACATTAAAAATATAAATATAACACTGAAGGTGTACATTGGTTTTGATTTGGAATGCAACATTTAAAAATGGTACCTTAAGGAGGAAGACTTTCTACAGAAAACTTGCTCATATTCACAGTACACTAATGGTGGGTATACATAATAATGGCTCTGATAATACTGGTGGGACCAATATTATCAGAGGAAGAGATTTTTTTCATCAAAATAAAAGCATTCAGTTTATTGTTGCATGCGTATGGGTTCATAATAGCTAGAATGCATACAGGTCCGATGATAGGTTCACAGACATACTCATACAGGTGTTCCGATTATCACAGAGTACAATCAGTAGTTACACTTCAAACTACTAAGTTAAAATTAAACATAATGCATTAACCCTTTGACGCGCGGTGGTCGCGCCTTGAAACCACCAATTTTTCAAATTTTTTTCTCCTCTTCTTTCTGAAATTTTTGAGTGAAAATTGATTGATTACCGATCTTTTACCTCTAAATAACACAAAATGACTGCAGAATCATACATGTTTTAGGTCTTAGTACTTCAAATCGGATGCCTTTTAAAATTCGTTTTCAATGAGACAAAATAACTTCCTTTTATTAATATAAACAACTTTAAATTTCAAAAGTTATTCATCGCACATCATGAACAATAAAAAAATATCATAAACAATAAAAAAATATCATAAACTATCTTAAACAATAAAAAATAGCAATAATTAAACTGCATATATAAAAAAAAACCCTCTATATGTATGGCATTTGCTTTGTGGTTTCAGGGCACGACCACTGTCCCACTAGAGCATTGTGTCACAATACTCACAATGCTCTAGAGGCTCGTGGTCGTGCCTTGAAACCACTGCTCTTCACAATGGCGTTCACTTGCTTCTCAAATAGGAATGTTTATTTTTACCCGGATATAGATAAGGGGTTTTGAAACCACAGAGTTATTTTATTATTAAACAATACATGCACCTGCCCAGTAAAAAAGACTTTCTTTTCCACGGACATTTCTCTGACCACTTGCTCCCAAAGCTAGTATTGTGATTTTATAAATTATTTCTTATGGTTTAAATTTAATATAAATATGCTTTGCTATAATTAAAAATGGAAATCACATAACGTTTTATTTAAATGAAAAATATTTTTTGAATATTTTGGGACGAAATACGAATAAAATAAGTATGAATGGGAAACGAATGATCCGTAACAAAGCTAAAACGACCAAGCCCCCTCCCATTAACATAAAAAGCCACAAATTTCATGTGCCAGATGAAAAGAAACTAAATAATGCTGGACATATACCAGTGAAATTTAGATCCAGGCAGTGTACATTTTGTAGCACAAGGAAGAAACCTCATAGAAGATACATGTGCAAAACATGCAATGTGGGTCTATACATGTACCAAAAAGACAAAACATGCTTTGAACAGTGTCACAAAAAAAATTTGTTCTTTGGAAAAAAAAAAAACAAACACCTGAGTCTATTTTTTATCCTTATTTTACTGAGTTTTTTAATCCATTTAGCCAAACTTCCTTATTATGTAAGTAGTTATATTTTCACTGCTACAGAAAAATTACAGAAATGTTTATTTTTAAATTTTTCCAACGATATACATTGTAAAATAAAGTAAAAAAATTATATACAGTACACTCCCGATTATCCATGGAATTGGGTGGCGCGGCCACCGCGGATAATCTGAAAATAGCTAAAAAATGGGTATAGCAAAAGAGAAAACAGTCATTCCACCTTTGAAAAATCGTTTTATGTACAACAAAACGTAAAATAAACAGCAGGAAATGTTTAACTAACGCTTAATATTTTAGCATATCACTCAAAACTAACCTAAAATGCAATTTGTTAATGAAAACAGAAAAGTGCTTTATACTTACAAGAGGCATCAAGGATACACAAAAAAATTAATACATATGTACTGTTTTAATATTGTAATGTATTAGGTAATTACAAAAGCATAACTGTAAAACTACACCTTTTTGAAGAAATCAGTCATTTGTGTTTGCTTCTTGCTTTGGAATCATTTTCTCTTGATCCAAGATTGCATTTTTTGTAGCATAATTTTCTCGGCCAACTCCGCGTTGTCTTGTTCTTCCAAATAGCTCAGCAGTCCGTTGACTTGTTGCAAAGCCACTTGGTGAGTCTTCCGCATCTGCACAGTCGGCTCTTCTTCGCCTTCACTTCGCTCGGCTTTATTCTCGGTCTCTCCCCTTGCTTTCTTCACAATTTCGTTATCTGTCAAGCGTTCGAAGCCAGGTTCGTTGATGTCACACTCTAACCACTCGTTAATGTTTTCAGCATTGACGTTCTCACCACCTGGAACTGTTTTCACCAAATCGGCAAAAGTTGCCATGGGCGTGTCTACATCTTCATTCTCTTCTTCACAACTCAAAGGGATTAGGTTGTTGTTCGCTTCAACATTAGGCACGAGTTTTCTCCATGATTTTATGAGGGCTGACAGTGAAACTAAGTCCCATGCAGATGCAATATCATAGATGCTGTCCAAGATTGTGTAGTGTTTCCAAAACTCTTTCAGATCATAACCTTCTTCAATTTTGGTCATTAGCAGCTTGGTTCGGTATGCTCTCTTCATTGTTGCAATGACTCCTTGGTCCATGACTTGGATTAGTGCAGTAACGTTTGGGGGGAGAAACCTTGCAAAAATTTGTCCACCAGAAGACTTTAGCACGCTTGTTGCTTGGTGAGAAGGTGGGTTGTCGATCAATAGCACAGCTTTTCAGGCAGGGTTTTTTTGATTTAAGATGTTTATGCACTTGAAGAACAAAGATTTTTTCAAACAATTCTTCAAAAATGTTTCGGTTCATTTTTTTTTTTTTTTTTTTTTTTTTTTTTTAAACTTTTCGATGACAATAAGTCTAAGTTTATGTCCACCACTTGCATTACTGCAAGACATGATAGTGATCCTTTCCTTGCTGCTTTTATGACCTGCCACTTTACTTTCACTTTCAAATGCTAAAGTGCGAGTGGGAAGACATTTCCACAAAAGTCCCGATTTGTCAGCATTGTAAATTTGTTCAAAAGATAGCTCTTCTTTTAAAACAAATTCTTCAAATTCATGGTGGAAATCATCGGCTGCTTGTTGGTCACCACTAAGTTTCTCCCCATGAAGTCCAATTTCTCGAATTCCATGTTGCTGCTTGAAACGAGTCAACGAGCCAGAAGACGCATCAAAAGTTGCTTTCAGTCCTAACAACTCAAAAAAAGTTTTTGCCTTGGCCACAATGATAGGACCATTTACAGGAGTACATTCTTTTCGAACTTGAGCTAACCACTCTGTCAATGCCGTGTCTAGCTCATCAAAGGTTTTTCGCGTTTTCATTGCAGAAGTATTGTCCGGCATTCATGCAAAGTTCACCAGTTTGTCTTTTTGCTTTAGAATGTCACGCACTGTTGTTTCTGCAATTCTGTAATCCAATTCCATCTGCTGCCTTGTAGCGCCGTTTGCTACTTTGGAAATTAATTCTAGTTTTCTGCGCAATCGTCAACACAACCTTCTTTCATTTTTCTGACATTTTAAATCGGTAACGAAAAACACAAAACCAAAGAGCACAAGCACTGATCACAATAAAAGATAAGAAATTAACTCTGACCGGTTCGCAAGCACTATACGCCTTAAACTAAAAATGGCGAGTAGGAGGAAGTGGACATGTCAGTAACATTAAGACGAGACAGGGCGGTGGAGCGGGCACTGCAAGGGTGAATAAGAAATCACTTACTCATCAGAGGGGAAGGTTCCGAGAAGGCCTGGGATATTTTTGCCATAAATAAGCACGATGATAGCAAATTTAACGTTTCGCTCAGTTTTGTTAACATTTTTATTTTCTTTGTTTTACGCTGGGAAAAAAAAAAAAGAAAACTTTGTGCGGCAGGCGCGGATAATCGGGAATCTACTGTATAATGGAATTCTTACATATATTTTTTACAAATTTGTAAATTTTGTCATTTATTGGAAACGCACACCGAGAAAGTTTTTTTTCCTACTACCTCAATAAGTTTCAAAGTCCTAGACGCGCAGTGATTTCACGGTGCGACCACCACCCACAAGACAATGGGCAGGAGTAGATTTTTTTCAATTCATATATTCTTTGTCTCTACGATCATAATATTCAATTTCTAGAGTTTTTAGTTAAAAAAATTATACAAATAATATCACACGCGTCAAACGGTTAAACACAATACATTAAACAAAGCACACCTAAAAGGCAAAGCTTTCGATACTCTAAACTAACAACTCGCAACAACTACTAAGGGCAGAAGCTCTCTCCGCCTTTATATAGTTTTCATCACACTGGCGAGATATTTCTAGTACTTTTTGTTTCTCAAAATTACTAAAAGGCATATGAGATCCAAATTATGGTTACAGCTTCATATGAAATCAATTACACATACCTATTACTGTGATACAGGGACTGGACCAAAATGTCGCCATGTTTGGCCCCTTTTAATGATTTCTCGTCTTTGGTGACAAAAATTAGCCGCCAAAACTCTTGCCAGCTTGACAATATTTCGCCAAATTAGCGAATACAATGTAACTCAATGATAAATAGACTTGCCCTTGAATTCTTATTTTTCTGGCAGAGCAACTGTCTCTAGATTTTTATGTTATGTTATACAGAAATATACAATAATTTCACATATAATTGCATTAAAATTATCCATGTAAAAAATTCATAGCATTATTTATGGGTAAGTCACATATTTTTAATTGCATTTGATTAAAAGTGAAATAAAAGTGTTCCATGAATAAACATTGTTTAGCAATTGATTTTATCATTCATAAAATGGTATTTTTTATTCTTCATGTTATAGCAGTAATTCTTCTAGAACTCTAAATACTTTAAAACAAGCTCAACGAGATTACTTCTTGAAAGATAGTTAATTACATATGTTTCAAGCTTCACTGTAATGGAAATTTATTATCTACTTATGCTCAGAAGATAAATATTTAACAAAAACATTTTTAATAAATTTGATACAAAACCAATAATAGCAGCTTAAAATGCACATAAAGTGTTAAAGTCTATTAGTACTAAATAAAAATACATAACACTGCAAATGACGAGTTTCTTAGACCTACAACTCATCTTTCCCACTGAAACAAAATTAATAAAAATAAACGAATATCCTTAAATAAAATATTAACAATTATGCACATTACATTTTCCACTTATAAAAATTAATGAATAAACATCATGAAGCATAAACAGGGTTCGTAGCCACATTTTAGTTAAAAAAATAAGCACCTATAAGCACTTTTCAAGCACATTTTAAGGAAAAAATAAGCAGTTGTCTAATTACATTATACACAACTGCATAACCTTAAAAGAAAAATTAGACTTGTAATTTAAAATATGAGCAATGCAATATTTATTAAGAGAATGAGCATTACCTCAACCATGGAAAACAATTAACTTTTTTTTAATTTTAAATGACAGTTCAATTTACAGAATTAGTTTACAATGAGAGCAAAAAAAAACTATGCAGAACTAAACTATATTACAAGATTTAATGATGAAATTTCAGTTCAAAATATAGAAAGTAAATAATAAGCCATATTAATTGTATTCGTTTGGCACCTAATAATAAATACAATTTATTTTTCCACTCATATTAATATTTAAATAATTTAACTTAAATCAAAATTCTGAACATTAAATTTTCATTGCATAACAGTTTTCCCTTAACATATATATACCAAGCAAAATTATTTAAGTAAAAAAGAGGCACATTTCTGAAATCAGAAGACGGGAAATTGCTTCATGCTGTCATCCTTTAACAGTAAAAGGTTAACTAACCCGCATACTCGAAAATTGCCAAATATTCCGGATAGTAACTGGAAAAAGAGGAGTGGGGGGAGATTGTAGCTGTTCTTTAGATTTCTCGGCTAAATAAATGATTTTGACATTTCGATATGTGCATCATATAAAAATAGACCAACGGAACTCAGAAATATTCTGCTTAGAAAACACAGTAAAACTCTTTTAAGTGTTCATAAACAAATCTCAGACTGAACGTCAAAATTAATCTCTGCAAAATACTGCAAACCTTATTGTGCAATACGTGCGGCGTAATTCTTCCACATGTGATATTACACAATCGGAATCAACAGCTGCCGGTATTCGGAGAATAAAGAACTAAATAAAGGAAAAGAAAGAGACTTACTAATCTGGGGTGTTTCTGACTCTAATTTTTAACATACTGCGTTAAATTTCCGGAATAGAATCAATCTTCGCTTGGGTTGGGTAGACCGCAAAAAACTTTTAGTCCTATTCAATCCAGATTGGACAGGGGGAAAAAAAAAAAAAAAACAAAAATCTGCTGCTTTAATATTAGAGATTTTGCGGAGAAAGGGGGAGAACCTCCCTATCTCTGTACTGTATAACGTATTGGGGGGGGGGTAACTTTTTTTTTTTTACTATTCGATTATTTTTCTTTTATTTAAGCCATTCCGAATAATATTCGTTAGAAAGCTAATCTGTGTAAAAACACACCCATTTTTGGAAGTTCATCTATACTTCAGCAGTTACTGCAACTATATTATTATAAATATTCATGCATATGCTCATAATATAAGCATAACGATTATAATAAACATGGATATGAACTGACCACGCGGAACGAGAATGCAAATTATTAAAATCTTGATAGAAATCCAAACGTGTGTAGTATTTGGGTGGGAGGAAAAGAATACCGAATGTACCGGAATTTTCTACCATTTTCGCAATTCTTTGACCAATAGAACAACGTGCACCTGTCTGTACTCTCGCGCGCACCATAGGTTACGTTAATGCAGAGAAAGGGGGGAAAAAGCAATTTCCGGGAGTATGATGCATATAAGGAAGGAAAGTTGTTTATTTAGTTTCGGCTTTGGTACGGGGAAAAAATGCGCGTTCATTAAAAAAAAAGGATTGAAAAAAAGCACTAAAAGCAAAAATTAAGCACTAAAAACAAAAAAATAAGGGCTTTAAAGAAAAAGTAAGCACCTATAAGGGCCTTTATATTTTATTTTCAAATATAAGGACTTATAAGTACTTGTAAGGACCGCTACGAACCCTGATAAATTTAGTAGAACATAAATGAAAATAAAATTCTTAAGCAGTCTCTCAAGTTGCACAATAAAAAGAAACACTTAATTGTAATCTGAATTTTAAAAAAAAAAAGAGAGAGAGAGAAAAGGATATTTTCCCCTACAGGTGAGTAATGTACTTCATTTCTTGGACCAGTGCCAAAATCAAATACAGGTTCACATTTCAAATTATAGATTGTTGCATTGGCAGGCATATCTTTTTTGGTTAAGAAATCATATACAAATTTTCAAGGCACATTTACTTATTTTAAATAGTAGAAAAATGCAATATATAATATACAGCTCAACATTCTACTTAGAAAATAATCGGAGACTACTCATAACATAGTAATAAAATATTAAAACTTCAAAATAATAACTACTCTTAAAATAATAGCATAGTCTTATTAAATTCGATAATATTGGGTTAAATCTGAAAACTGATAATTTAAAAACATAGAACTGAATTGAAATATGACAAAATAGGGAAGATACAATAAAAATTAGCATCATAGCTGACTTTTAATTGTGGAAATCAAAAATTTATGCATTCACTTCTACAGAACATAAACAAACCATCAATTTCACTAATATCAAATAAAAAAACTGTGATGTAAATTGTAATTTTGAAATTATTTTCCTATTTTGTCTATCAATGTCATTCAAAGCTGGATTAAAGAATTATTCTTCTAACATAATGTATTTAATATTCTCTGCAAAAAAATTTCCTGAAATAACTATCATATCTAAATAGAAGGATTAGCTCTATAGAACTCTCATTTCTATTAATAAATCCCTATTCACTTACATGGCTTTATTTATTTTCATTGTGTAAACTCATTCTTTCTGTATGAAGTAGTCTTTCTTGTGTGGGAGCATAAAATGTAGACCCCTACCTAAGACAAAGTAACAAATTCTTATTATGTCTTGAAAACAGATGACTGCCAACAAAGGTTATAACAACCTTTTTATTTTAACAAAACATGCCTTAACTCGGTGCTCACAATTTATCCACCACTTGTGGATAAGTAACTTAAACACAAAATAGCATGGTGAATTAAATTTTAGCAGCACACAGTTGAGTCGGGTCTAGAAGATCAATATAAATTAAAATAAGTGGCTAGCATAAAATATTCAGCAACATAAACTCGTAACTAACTCATACTGCACAACATTCATTCTCAACAACTCATTCTGCTACTTAAAGACTATTTCCAAACTCATTTAGATTTGCATATATATAATTTAAATTTGCATTGTGGCAGGAAATTGAAATCAGAAGGGAAAGTTTCTTAAAAATAAAAAATAATTGATTAGTACAAAAAAAAGTCTTTACATTGCAATTTGAATTTTTTCTGAATTCATACTTTAAAAAATATATAATTCTAGCTATGTTAACCTAATTACTAAAACCAATAAATTCACAAATGAATTAAAAAGAATTAATTAAAAAAAAAAAAAAAAAAAGAAGAATAATTTTTTTTTTTTTTTTTTTTTTTTTTTTTTTTGTATTCCTCTAATTCTGTACACTAAAAATGCATTTTTTTTTCCATATTAATAATTTAATATGGCACCATTCCCTTCCCAACTTAAATTATCCAATGACAAATACACAGGTACCCTGAAAGCAAAATCAGTTTTGATATATATGTTATTTATTTTAGTATTACTAATAAAAACTGCATTATTTACACATGAACTGACTATTACACTGAATTCAAATACAGAAAGGATACAACCATATACAACGCAAAACTCTACTGAATTTGGACTCCAGCGGATAGAATACACGGGGCCATCTTTTCCTTGTAAAAAATAAAAGGAGTATTCAGTGATTATCAGTTTCTACATTGGTTCCCTACTATTTGTTTTTAAGAGTTTTTTTTATACTACAAAAAACTACACTCCTTACAAATACATGTACGTGATGTATTTAACTGTACTTTTAAACCTTTACCTTTCAATTCTTTTCTCAAAACCTTTCACATGCATCTTATATGCATCATATACATGCATTCACGACACTTTTTTTTAGATTCCATTTATATTAATATTTTGAGATTCCTCCCCCGAACATATTACATATAAATGCAGAGTCAAAGAGAAAAAGAAAGGAAAAGAAACACACAGAAAAAAAGGGGGTTTTGTTCTGTAATTTATTTACAGAACAGAACATAAATTTAAAATAATAAAAAGTTTAAAAGTTATGCCATTTTTAAAATTTTATTGCATGCATATAATATTTATTATTTTTTTTTAGTTTTATGATTTTTATTTTATTTATAAATAAATTATATTTTTATTTAATTATTTTTATCAATATTTTCATACCACTAAATGAAAGTAGTCCCTTAAATTGAAATACCTTATGTTTTTTATTAAAATAAGAAAATACGAATTAAAAGCAAAAGAGTGTATCTTGTATCCATGTTTTTCTACTTTATATTCAATATTCTGTGTACTCCATATATTTAGCAAAAATCTCATGCATTAAAAATTTATTAAAATTGATAATGAAAAAACATCATTAAAAATTAAGAAAATTACATAAATATTAAAACACAATCTGCCCATTAAATTCCTCATTACTTAGTAAGATTTATTTGATAAGCTAATGACAGTGAAATTGTAAAATTTTTTAATGTATTGTAAAAGTGGTTTAGAATATATAATTTGCTTAGTGTATTAAAAGTGTTTAATAATACGAAAATTTGCTTAGAGCAAAATGAATTTACCATATTTTAAAATTCAATTAATGTTTACCATATCTTAAAATACTACTTACCAAGTGCTACTTTAGCAGTGTCTCCTTTAGTTGATGCATAATAAAGGTTTAATTCCCCATAATAGGAAGCTCCACTTTTATCCACATCAACAGATGTTAAAAAGATACAGTCTTTTCCTAAAAGTATTACAAGATACAAGCTAAAGTTAGTAATATAAGCATACCCTGCACAAATAATTTACAAGTCAATACATAAATAAGTGAATGATTTTAAATTGATAAAGATCTAAATTACTGCAGCATAAATTTTAATTATGCAGAATATTAAGCTAGTCAGATAGTATTATAATGCGAACATTTTTTAACTTTCGTTAACATTAACATCAATATGCCAGCATCTGCCACTGGTAGTTTACACTTAAGTCTCATTGGGCAGCATGTATCGCCAGTGGCTCATAATTGGATGTTCCATCGGATGGTGGGAAAAAAAACTACTGGAAAAAACTGCTGTATTGTTGAAAATTGAAATAATGGAAATTTAACATGTGTTAATTGATAAATGTAGGAGTTATTTTATTTTAATTGAATATTCTGAATATAACTAAACTATTAAACAAAATTTCAATACTAAAAACATTAAAATCTAGTATTATCTAAACTTAACTAAACATAATATTATAAATGTAATTAACAAAATATTGATTGTAAAAATGTAATAATTCAATATTATAAACCTAGCTTATTGTTTATATTTTCTGTGTAATTTTTTAAACCATTTCAAACAAAGTGCTGGTTGGGCTTCCTTTTTGTCTTCCTTGTGGTACAGTCATTACCCTTTTTAAATATATACATATATATATATTGTTTGTAACACTCTTTGCATCTTTTTCTTGACTTTCTTGCAGGCTCTTTATATGATTCATGAAAATGACACATTATTGAAAGTATTAGTTTTTCAATAGCCATTTTTCCAATGCCGTTAACATTGGTTAAAAGCTTATCAATAATTTGCTCCCTAAATTGTAAAATATTAATGTGCTTGCCACCCCATCTTTGATTTATGTACCAAGCATTCATTAGGCATGGCCTGCATATTAACTGTGTTAAAATTTTTCAGTACCATTTAATCATTTAAAGCAAACAACCATAGTAAGATGCCAGTTGGTCGGAAAAATCGATACCTTTTCTGCATTCTAATTCAGAAGTCAAACAACAAAAATCAGCGTTATACCTACAAAATTTTCACAGGACTAGTTTCGATGGTTTTACCGAACCATCATCTTCAGCTGCAAAACCGCAAATGCGGTTTTGCAGCTGAAGATGATGGTTCGGTAAAAACCATCGAAACTAGTCCTGTGAAACTTTTCTGCATTATTAAGAAAAAAAAGGCATCAGGCTTCAGTTTATCTTTTTTCTCTGGAACAATTGTATGTGTGCTTACCACAAATAGTTACATACAAACTGGTCTTTTGTCAGTCTATTTAGAAAATTTGACACTCATACAACTTTCAAAAATCATAATCCCCACTCTATGCTTGGTTTGCCTGTGGTCGCAAAAATTATCTGTTTATTTTGATAGTCCTACAAATAAACTATCTGTACATAATATGCAGCCCTCAAATAATAACACATTTACTAACTGCTTTACTACATCATGCGAGTGTGTTTCATAATGTCAATACTATAAGTGAATGTAATACACTATAGTTAAAATATAGCTTTCATAAATACCAATACTATAAGTGTAACCTTCCAGAAGACACAGTTTATATACTTCTGCACTATACTTATGGCACTTGCCTAGAATATATTGGCAAAAGCCGACACGTCCTCTCCATGGAACTAAACTTTCTTCGACAATGATGTTTCTTCCAAGCTTTTTGAAAGTATTAACAATTGCTTCTATAATATTTCTAATTTTATTCAATCAGTCTTCCGTTTTAGCTGATGTGCTGTGCAAAAAAATGTAAAAATTTCAATATAGAAACGATCACGTTTCATGCTATTTTTTATACACTGCCTTTCTAGACCAGTAATTTCCGGTAGTTGAACTAAACCCATGATCAGCAATATACCAATAAATGTATTGATTTTGCCTCTCGAAACAGGCTGCCAGGCCTGTTGGTATCTTCTGCTGCTCGCTAAAGAATTTATATATTGCTCAGCATATTTATTTGTTGGTTCAACTATTATTCCTGATATGTACTCAATGAAGAATAACTTGAATACAGCAACAGAATCATTACAATCAACATTTCCAACTAAAAATTTCTCTTCTTCTGAATACTCATTAAATTTTCTGATCATAAAATCACATGCTGAACCTTAAAAAAGCTGACAATATCTTTCTATGTCTTAAGCTTTTAACCTGTGTTTTAGGAGAACGTCTAGCGAAGTATGTTGTAGAAGCATTATCCTTACACAAAACTGAAAAATATTACTGGTCTGATTCCACCACAGCTACTAGTTTAGCATGAAAGTTTTTTCAGACTGGAGATGTAATAAATGGTCTCTAACTCATCAGAGATGAAACAGGACTTATTGGAATGAAAACAAAGATATTCACAAGAAACAATAAATTTGGATTTAAGTATCCAATTTTACTTCCGTCAAAGCAACATTTTGTGCATAGTTTAGTCTTTGCATTAGAAGAAATCTCCTGTTCAAATGCTTAGTAAATGTAAACATTAGTAAATGCCTGGCATAATATACGGCCATCTTCTCTGTTTATTGAAACTGAAAGTGATGACAGTTAATTTTCTGGTTTGGGGGTCAGTGCAGCAAGGGTTAAAGCAAGAGAATTGCTTTTATATTTGAAATAAAGAATAAATGAGAAGGCTTTGCAAGAAGAAGATAGGGATGAATGCACGCTGTGTTCAGACAAGCCAGCAATGGCATATCAGATGACCGATGATGAAATCATTGGCTCTGTCTTGAACTCACCAGAGCAACAAAACAATTCTGACACCAACACAGATAGTGAATTTGATATGAGTGAGAAAATATCCTTTAATGAAATTTTAGAACATGGTGAAAAATACCAAAATTTGTAGAACAACAGAGCTGTATCACAGAGGAAGAGATTATGACTCTACATAATTTACAAAAAAACTTACTCTGGAGCACCATAAAGTTTAACAAACCTCTATCGGAAAAATGTTTGAAACATGAAAAAAAAAAAAAAAAAAAAAAAAAAAAAAAGAAAGAAATATTTTATGCTTTATTAATATTCCCTTTTTTTTATAGGCCTTAATACTTTTAAATGTCCCTGTAATCACTAATATAAATGCTTAATATAATAATAGTTTAATGCAAATAATAAATTAAGGTAATAATGTATACGTATATTGTTGTAATAACATATATAATAATTTAATTAAATGTATCTAATATGCCTTATTTATTTTGCACTCTTAGTCTGAATATTATGATTTATCTTTCTTGTCCTGAAATCTGCAAAATCCTAAAATCAGCACAACCTCCGGTGTCAAGCTTTGCAGATTTCTGGACTTCTACTGTAATAACCATACCAATTAATAGTATAAATATTTGATGTTGAAAAAAACTAATATTTTAGATATTGTAAAACTGTCCACATTATCAAAGATTTGGATGGTCAAATCTCACTTTCAAATGAAATAAGTATAAATAACGAGCAGCAAAAATGTTTATAATTTAATAGGCACATAAGGCAGTCATGTGTCCCCATCAAATTTTTTACTTCTATGCCATTTTTTGGCATCTATGCTTAGGACTGAAAAAAGTAACAGTAAAATTTTAAAATGATGTTACATTTTTTATTTGTGTTGATAAAAGGGAACAGTCTAAAATTCCTCCCACATTACAAATAGCACAGGGTATGGAGAAAAACTGCATCAAATATAAGAAGATTATTCTTTGATGACTGACTGCAGCTTAGCCAATGAATGCTGTTGGCTGCAGCTAGCATTCATTGGATTACGATTATCCAATGAACGAATTATTATTTAGAATTTAGGATTAGATATTAGTGATACTTAACCTACTGCTTTAAGAATTTCTAGTAAGTCCTCAAAGAATATCTATACCAATAAAATTATAGATAATAATGGACTATTGTAATTTAGAATTATTTTTTAGAATCAAACTAAAACAAAGCAAAATTGTCATCATTACATTATTTTCAAATTTAGAGAAACTTTAGGGCATTTAATCTTAAATGTGTCACCTGTTTTATTCCAGTAGAAATCTGTCCTTTCAGCTTTGAAAAAACTTTTTTGGGCTATAACTGCACTTGGCCCTTCAAAGTTTGGATACCTAAATAACCTTACAAAAGAAGGCTGACCCTATAAAATATGTAAAATTGATCAGCAAAGAAATATTATACATAATTGCATTTTCATAGCATTTATATTTACCATAATTATGACATAAGTGCAGAATATAAGAATATTACCATAAATGTAAATACAGTACAAAGTCCGAAATCGGGACATTTAACATCGGGATATCAGAACCACCAACACACATAAATAAAAGGAAAAAAAAAAAAAATGCTCCACCACAGCTACTAGTTTAGCACTAGAAAGCAGTACCTTTAGTTTTACAAAGTCTAAGAAAGGAGAAATAATAAGAAACATGTGTGCCATATAAGCAATTTTCTCTCAACTTAAATTCTTACACTTCATTTCCAAACACTAGCTGGATAGGGAATCACACTGAGGTCAATAGCAATGCATTGATTATGTTGCTTTGATCGCACTTTCGGCCCTTGAATAGTTGGGGAGGGTTTTCTATCTGAACTTAATAACAGTTGAAATAGCAATGCTGCCATGCCTACATGTTACCTTAGCAGATTTAAACTGATGACCTAAAATACCATATACACCAACATACAGTAAAACGTACCAGTAGTCAACGTGCAAATGATATTTTTTATAATGGAATTGTAAAAAACGAATGTTTATTTAAAAATGCACGTGTAAAGCACATTCTTTTTAATTGACTGTTTGTTAATTTTTAATTAATTGTAATCAATTCAGAAGTCAAACAACAAAAATCAGCGTTATACCTACAAAATTTATTCGGCGTGTTATTATGTCTTAATTGTAATCAATTTAATTACATTTAACCTAAAATCCATATATAGTAGATACATATATAAAGAATAATTATAAATACTTCTTATAAATTAGACACATATTTAATCAGAATTTTTTATTTTACTACTTAATCAGAAATATCACAATCTACTAATATATCATTGAAGCAAATATTTTAAATCACAAATAATTATAGCGAAAAATCAGAATCCACAAATCTTATAGCTTTACGAGGTTTCTGAATTCTGATTTCTGGGTGGAAATATTTTATTTAAAAAATTTAATTTTAGATATACATGAATAATACATATAATTATTATAAACTACTTATAAATTTATTTGTAAATAATGTAAGAACAATACATATCTTTATAAAATTACTTATAATTTATTTGTAAATATTATAGATAGCAAAGATTTATAGGTAGCATACTAAGTAAGCTTAAGTTCTGAATTAGTAATTGTTTTTTTATAACACAGTTTTTCATTTGCCTGTACATTTACCTTTTCAGTCAGAACTGCTTCAAAAGCTTTTGTAGCTAAATTTGGTCGAAATTCAGCCTGATATTCTTTTCATAATACAGAAAAAAATATTGCAAGCTGCATTTGAATAAGGTATTAGTAAAGCTGTAATCTTTACTATAAGTAATGCCTTGTATTTAATGCACTCATTCATATCTTTTAATTTATTATTTCTTCCTTTTAATTTTGCAATTTCAATTTTTCGTATGTCAATATGCAAATCTGCAACTTCTTTTAAATTATCTTCTTGATAAAACTTAATTTCCACTTGATCAAGATATTTTTCATTAATAGTGAAACAGATGAAAATGAATCATAAGTTCTCAAGTTAATGTCAGCAACTGCAGCATAAGTTAGAAATGGATCATTTAGAGGAACTTTCTCTATCACAAATGGCAAACCCTAGGTGTGCCCAGACTGGACTCACCGATAATCTAGAACAACTGAGAGTCAGTATTCTTTTTTTCTCTGCATCTCATCGATCAGTTCATTGACAACAATGCTTGTTTCAGCACTTTTCGAAGCTCTATTCAATCAGTGTGCCACTTTGGGCACACCCACAGAATTAAAACGATAAGTGCTTTCTTCACAAAATTTTACTTGTGTACTCCTCTAGACCTAATTAGACTGCCTACCTTTTTTTTTTTTTTTTTTAATCAAAACTCCGACTTTAAAAGGTAGCATGTCGGAAAGGGTTAATAAAATTAGAAAAAAAAAAAAAAAAAAATTATGAAAGCAGTACCTTTAGTACCAGTAGTAATCACCACCCAAATCTGTGATTTTCTGCCAAAGTTGTGGTAGCCACAAGTCCAAAAGCAGATCAACCTCGTTTCAGACGTCCTGTGCAGAATGGAAGATATCACCAGCAAGATGTAGCAGCAGGTGTGAAAAATGTCTGAAGGAGCGATGTCGGCGAAAGATCCCATTTGAGTCCATACAGAGTCTAACTGGTGAATGCAGACACATGTAGTCTTGCATTATCTTGATGGAACATTACATTTTTGCACCGGAACTCAGTACGTTTTTCCTTGATAACGGCATCAACATGGACTAACATTTCGCTGTACATCTTTACTGTGGAAGGTTTTACCTTTTTTCTAGATACTCTTTGCTGACATTACCATGGCTATCCCACCAGATTCAAAGCATGATCTTTTTGTTAATCAAATTATGCTTGCAATGCTGCCAACAGGCTCACTGGGCACAACCTTTTCAGCCTGTGCTGTTGAAGTAAATCCACTTTTCATCACACGTGAGTCCAGAATTCTGTCCTTGCATTGATATTTAAGCAGATTCGTGCAGGCCCGAGCATGTCTATCCATATCTGCTAGTATCAGCTCATGCGGTACCCAGCGAGTGAACTTGTACATCCAGTTTATACCATGCATAATGTGACTAATGGACACAGCACTAATGTCTAACTCCTTAGGAAGTTCTCGAGTTGTTGCATACTGATCTTCTTCCATTAAGTTCACAGGCAGGTCTTATCAACATCAGTAGGTTGGTCAGAGCACTCTCCTTCTTGAATGTTATAGTTCTTGTTTCTGAACTTTCATTACCAAATCTTCACAGTGTTATACGATACAACATTAGTGCCTAAAGCTATACAGATGGTTTGGTGACATTCTGTAGCTGACTTTTTGCAACATAACTAAAAGTAAATGATTATTCTAATCTGGTAGAGTGACAGTTTCATTTCAGACATCTTAATAACAACGATATTTTTTTACAAATTTCACAAGTGTTAAAGCAAGTCTGTTTCTTTCAAATGCCAAAAATCATTTGACAAAATATGATTAAACACAACAATGTGAACTGTTTGCACAGACAATATTTGTGGTGGTGGGAAAATTTCATTAAAGCCTGTTATATCTATTAACATACATATTTATTAAGCCATTTCTATTTCTGAGCCAATTAATTTTTCAGTAGCTTTTTCTGCAATTGTATGTAAGAGGTGGCATGGAAAACCTCATATTATTTTGATGCATTTTGATGAATATCACCGTTAGATTTTCCTAACGTATTTCTAGCATTGTCTGAAAAAATACTATTCAATTTTTCCATTCTAAATATTTGCTTATAAAGTGCTAGTTTATACAATTAAAAATACCCTCTCTGGTATTATTCATGCATTCTAAATTAGATGTCAGTGAAGTAATTACAACTTACTTTTCTTTTCTATAATATGTCATAATCAAAGATTGCAGTTTTTTCATTGTTATTGTTATCATTATTCTATCATGTTGTTTTGAATTTAAACTACATCCCAATCAATCCTTTAGTTCTACTGTTTTTGCAAATGATTTTATTGCAACATAATGTCACAATTCCTTATATACTATTAAGTACACAATATTCATTATTTTATAAAAATTTTAAGAAATGACTATATTAATAAAAACGGGAAGTAATTTTTTTATGATAAATGACCATGACACACACTTTGATTTCACTATTTCTCAAGTTCCTAAAGGGCTTTATACTCTCTTCGCATATATTAATATTTCATACATCAATAACTAGAAAATATATAATTTATCATACATGCACAAAAAGAAAGATATAAAAATAAAAATTATAAATATGGAATAATAGGCAATGTTTTGAGCAGAAAATATACCATCAAGTGCAAATACAATAGTAAACAATTGTATTAAAATAATAATGCAAAAGTTAATTATTGGGTGCAAATCTGCGATTTTTTAAACTTTTTAAAGATCATCAATCTATCGATACTTTCTATAAGTTGAAAACATTATCAACATAACAAAGAAAAAAACTGAAAAGTCTAATTTAAAATACAAGTATGATTATTGAAAATACAACTAACAATTAATATAATAGTACAAAATTAAAAATACAAAAAATATCAATAAACTTTACATAAAATACTTATATTGAACTTTACACATAATATAGAATACATTACTTTCGCTTTTCCTACATACACAATAATCTGTTTTCTCAAAAAAAAAAAAAAAAAAAAAAAAAAAAAAAAAAAAGAGAGAGAGGAGAGAGAACTGCACAAACTCTGCAGTATATACACCAATCATGATTGCCATTCTCCAAGAACAGTTCAAATTTCAAAATACTGCTCAATATAATAAAAATAAAAGAGCCTTTCTGTTTTAAAAATAAACTGCAATCAGAAATAGAAAGAGAGAAATATAATCCAAAATGGTCTCATTAATAAATTGATACCAATCACACAACGTATGTGAACTAACTGCGATGGCATTGCTATTTTGGACATCTTCCTCCATTTTAAAATTTCAAAAGTTAAAAATTAAAAAAAAAATAATAAATAAATAAATAAAATTAAAAAAAAAAACCTCCTCTAGAGTCTGTTTGGTAAACCAAGATCCAAACCTTCAACATCTTAAGCCTGATTTTAAAAAAATCGAGATTTGCTTCCCCCCCCCAAAAAAAAGACTTATCGACATGTAAAAAAACCATGCACCAATGCATCATTAGCAGCATCAACAGCACACCTATCTCTAGAAATGTGAGACCTAACATCATTCAAAATACATGGTTGATATCTCTCAACATCTTTCACCATCATTCCAGCCATAATAAATAAGACAAAAATCAATCAAAATGATGCAAATACATCCAAATAACATCCCTGTGCGATCCAGCAAACAAAATCCACATGAGAAATGCAACTGAATAATAAATAATAATAATAATAATCACTCAGATACAGAAACATATAAACTGGGTAAATGGATTGCATAGAAAACAAAATCTTGCCAAAACTGCATGCTTACTATGCAAGGCAAAATAAGAGGAATGACAAAAGCATATGGAACATCTGCAACAAGATTACACATATCTTAATAACACAGTATTTTAGTCATTCGTTTCCTGCATGTCTGGATTCTTAATTTTGAATCTTCCCTTAAATATTCTACCATTTCAAACACTAAACAACATTTCCTTCCTTTTAAAAATTAATATTTAACACAAATGTGGGCTTCTATCAAACTGTAACCAACATGCATATTCATAAAATTACATTTGCACAACACTGCACTTTCATTTAATTCTGATTTTCATACAAATATATATATATATTCATTTTTCATTTTGTTTATTTTATTTTTATCTTTAATTGCTCAAAAGATCACATGGAACAAAAGGTGATTCAGTTCTCTTGGATTATTCAGGTTTTAATGTTTCAGATTATTAGCCTTGAGAAGTCGATCTAGAGCATAAAAATATGAATAATCTAATTCATGTTATACAATTTTAACATGAGTGAATATGATTTTAATATGAGGGGTAATCCAAAAAAAAAAGTTACAAGGCAAATGAAAAAGTATTTATTAACAACAGAAACAAGATACAAATGGGAATCAAGAGACACATCTGGCCTTCACTTTTCACATAGTCGCCAAACCTGTTTAGGCATTTGTCAGAACGTTCGACCAACTTGTTTATCCCGTCTTGGTAGTAATCAGGGCCCTGCTCATTGAGCCATTTCTCGGCAGCTGTTTTCACTGCATCGTCTGAGGTGAACCGTGTTCCAGATAAGTATCGCTTCATCGCCAGAAAAATGAAATAGTCACTTGGAGCCAAATTGGGGCTGTATGGGGCGTGATTCCAGACCTCCCACTTGAACCTTTGCAGCAATTCCTGAGTCTGGCGAGCTGTATGGGGCCTGGCATTGTCATGCAGAAGAATGACGCCTTTGCTCAGTAATCCAGGCCGTTTGCGTCAGATGGCTTTATGCAATTTCGTTAAGGTGGCACAATAACGATCGGCCTTAATGGTATGGCCATGTTCCAAATACTCGATTAGGATAACACCAGTCATATCCCAGAAAACGGTTGCCATCACTTTACCGGCAGAGGGTGTGACCTTAAACTTCTTCCTCGTCAGTGATCCAGCGTGTTTCCACTCCATCATGGCTCTGTTGGATGTGGGGGTGAAGTGATGAAGCCATGTTTCATCACCGGTAACAATGCGATCGATGAAGTGTTGGCCGTCTGAATGGTATCGCTGAAGAAATGTGAGGCTGCACATCATTCGAGTGGCCTTATGCTCCGCAGACAACGCACGTGAAACCCAGTGGCCACAAACTTTGGAATATCGCAACTCATCGGTTACGATATGCTGAATGTTACCATAACTCAGGTCCAACTTACCATAACTCAGGCAATCTCACGCACGGTTACTCGTCAATCCCTTTGGATGATTTCTTCAACACGAGCCGTGTTGATATCCGTCCTTGAAAAACTTGGATGGACGCTCGCTTCCAATATTGCGGTTTTCCACATGCTCCCTTTCCTTGCTTGATAAGAATGACACCATTTCGCTACCTGTTGTCTACTCATTGTTTTGTCACCGTATACCTCAATGATTTGTCTGTAAATTTCGGATGCGGCCACATTCTTGGCCCATAAGAATTCGAATTACGGCTCGCACCTCTATGCGAGACCACTTTTCTAGATGTCGTGCCATTACTGTCACTTCTTAAGTAGTCTGCGTACTGACGCTACTTACTCGTAGAACCGCTATAGGACAACTAGTGCCATCTGTCAACCACCCTGGGTGGAAATATTCGTTCCACAAACTCGTAGAACCGCTGTAGGACAACTACTGCCATCTGTCAACCACCCTGGGTGGAAATATTCACTCCACAATTATCATGTTTCAAATGCTTCTGCTTGTAAACTTTTTTTTGGATCAACCTACGTATGATGAAGTTCACTTTAAATAAATTAAAACATTTTAAAAAATAGTATGGAATAATTTGCCTCATGTTTTTAAAATTTAATAAGTTTCTTTTAATACAACTTTAGAATTTCCCTAGGAAGTTAAATCTACTTCTATTAAATTTTTTATTACTTTACCAATTTTGGTTAATACAGGGTGTTTCATAGATCATGGGACAAACTTGGAGAAGTGGTGGAGCATACCAAAACATGCACTTTTTCATAGGAATGTAGGGTCTAAAGTGACGGGTTAAGGCAGGAACGCAAAAAAACAACAAGAGAAAAAAATATGTTTATGTACAAAATCAACGCAAATTGCTTCTTTGTAGCAATACAGCATTCACAATAAATGTTCAAAATTGCGACCACCAGCAGTAATACATGCCTGGTAACGTCGCAGAAGGGATCGACGAACATTTTGAAAAACGACAGGCATTTCGCGCACGCTTGCCGCAATGGATGGTCGTGCAACGAGGTCCTCCAGCAAGTCAACGGGAGTCTCGTAAATGATGCTCTTCAGATGGCCCCATAAAAAAATCCAAGCTGGATAAATCTGGCAAGCGGGGTGGCTATTAAACATGTTCACCATGGCCAAACCATAGGCCTGGAAATGTCCCATCCAAGTAATTGCGGACCCCCACATGGTTATGGGCTAGTGCACCATCATGCTGGAACCACATGCGATCACGAACGATAGCCAGAACATCCGGCAGCAATTCCAGTAGCACCTCTTGCAAAAAAATATGATAACATAAGCCATTTGTATGTGCAGGTAAGAGGTATGGGCCTATGAGGTAGTCGTTAACAATACCCACCCAACATTCACGGAGAAGTGGGTTTGGAATGCATGTGGACGTGTGGATTATGAGTTGCCCACACGTGCGTATTGTGGCTATTGAAGATGCCATCCTGTGAGAAAGTTGCCTCGTCCGTGAATAGCACATCTGATGGGAAATCCGTCTGCGCCGCACACTGCTGCAAGAACCAATGACAGAAATGAACTCGAAGAGGGTAATCTGTCTCTTGCAAGGCTTGGACTCTGCAAATGGTATGGGTGCAAACCATTTTCATGGAATACTCTCCAAACGGTGGAATGACTCAGCTGCAGACGACGTGCAATAGCTCTTGTACTTGTCTGAGGTGATTCATGCACAATGTTCAAGATGGATTCTTCAATGTGAGGTTGTCATGCACTTCTTCTTCCACTCCTAGTGTCAGAGGTGGCTTCAAATGACCCGTTTTCACAGAGACCAATGCAACCTCTCGAACATTGCATGTTTCGGCATACGCCTGTTCGGAAACCATTCCTGGTACAACTGTAGGGCTGCTCCGCCGTTTCCATTAGCAGCACCATACATGAGATGCACGTCAGCTTTTTCCCTGTACATAAACTCCCCCATCACGCTCGACATCAGAGTTGCGAATGATCCTCTGATGCATCGGATCATGGTTTGTCCAACTCACTACCGCCCTCTACCGCTGCATTGCCAGCCAATCACAGCTGTAGTTCCAATTACTGTTAGTGTTGCCTTTTTCGAACCTTTATCGTAAATACTGTATTGCTCCAAAGAAGCATTTTGCGTTAATTTTTTACATAAACACATTTTTTTCTCTCGTGTCGTTTTTTTTTGCATTCCTGCCCTAACCCGTCACCTTAGACCCGACAGTCCTATACAAAAAATGCATGTTTTAGTACGCTCTAACACCCAAGTTTGTCCCATGATCTATGAAACAACCTGTATTTTGACACACAAACATACACACATACATGCATACTTTTAAAAAAAGGTTTATATTACTAAAAATACATCTTAAACCTGAAATACAGTAGAGTCTCAATATAACAGGGTAATACCATAGATTATGTCCAGGCTTAACTTAAAGTCACAGTTAGACAGCAGTTAGGAAAGAGGTACAATCCACATTATAACTACGAGAAAATACTTTTAACAAATAACCAGTATTTTTAAGCAGTTTTTCAAAACAAGAGTAACAAGACTCAAAATGAAAACAATGTTTTGATTTATAGTGCTCTTGTAATTTCAGAGAAATCAATGGGACTTGCACTATATACTTAATTTAATTTTGATAATTTAGGAATTTATTTTAATGAAAGACTTTTAACAATGTTTATGTATTCCAGATTATATGAACAATAAAATTATGTATTGTGAATAAAAATAATTCCCAAATACTGTTATATCATCTCTACCACTGCTTTTATCATTTTCTTTTCCTTCTCTAATTTCCTGTAAAAATTTTGCTAAGATCTCATGGTTTGTTTTTCTAATGCTCTGCAATAAAGAAAAACTCCCTTTAAAAAAAAAAAAAAAAGTGAGAGAGAGAGAGGGAGACAAGGCCTGGTTAATCAGGAGTTACTGCAAAGCATAAAAAATTATTCAATTTTTTTCAACTCTTCTTTCAATGGAATTTCATTAAAAACACTAAATTCACAAGAAATAATTTCATGTTAAGTCTGATTATTTGAAACTTAATGACATGAGCTATATATATCATGAAAACCATTTACAACTTTCTGGATTATATGCAAGATATTTGTATAAAGTATGATAATAATAGTGAATCATTATGATGTTAAATAATATATATAAAAATTAAATACCTTTACACCAGGTACAAAGCATGCAATATGGTATGGAGGCTCGCCAGGTGCTAAACTGAAATAGGCTACTTTCTGCATGAAAATTTTTTTTGCAATTTTATCTGTGAAAAGAGCAGTAATAATTTTAATAACAAATATAACTCATATAGTTTAAAAAATTACATTTAAAGCACTTCAAATAATAATCATAATTACTTTTGTGCTTTATTAATATATAAAAAAAGACTAACAAACTACTATCTGTTAATAAAGAAATAAAATAAGAAAAATGCTAAAAATACTACCAAAGTTTGCTTTTTCAAAAAAGTGCACTTCATTGCTAACATTTCTGGCACATAGGAACTCATCATCTGACCACTGTGGGTTCCTAGAATTAAAATATTCAGTAAGAAAACTAAAAAAGAAATTTAATTGCTTTAATATGCAAAATCAATAGCACAGATTATTTTTATTTTGCTATATCACACATATATCAGACATTTCTGAACACGAGACATAAAAAATCAACTCTCTTAAGATTCTAGCTGCGGATCTTCCAAACGTTAACCGAGTATGTTAACAATCATGGATCTAGCTGGACGTGCCAGCCACTTAAGGTTATGACAACAAGCATGAAGCAATGTGATATTACTGCTGCTGAATGCAAATATATAGTTAGTATTTCCCACTATGGAAAGATTATTTGTAATACACAGACTATTTATACTTGCACATTAGTGCACCCATCTTGATAATTTTTTGAAGGAAAAAAAAATTTTTGTTTGCCTTGAAACTTTTTGCTTACATTTATATCTACTATGTGTATCGTTTTTTGAGTTTTTTAATCAGGACAGAAATTCACAACCAATAACATCAAAATACTTTATTCTATTCTATTTTTAAAAATGCATAAGTAATTAATATCATCTGTTGCCATGGTTACATTCTATCTCTCTCATTTACATTATTACAATTGCTTTTAAATGGTTGTGACGTCATCTCGCGGTAAACTGTGTAAATTGCTAACAAACGGAACCAAAAAAGTTTATAATTATTTACTTCATTTTACATTTTGATTAGATATTTATCTTGGAAATCAATCAATCAATAAACCTACTTACGAACAGGTTCTCTTTTCCCTTTTGTTCCAGTGGTAATTGTTTAAAGAATGGATTTGAAGCAAATGTTGCCTTTACCGATTTTGTGACAAAAATACTGTATTTCTGCAGAAATGTTATTGTAGTTTTTTAATCCAATGCAGACAAATCCCATAAACACATAAGTTTAAGAATAAAAATATTATGACTTGTCTATAAAAACCAAAGAAATTTGGAATACAACAAAAAGCCATATGCAAAATCAGCTGAATTGCTTATAAAAACTGAATTATTGATATGTTATTGCCAGAGCATGGACCATACTAAAAAGCAGGGCTGTGGAGTCGGTAAGGAAAATGACCGACTCCACAGCCCTCATATATATGTATATATATATATATATATATATATATATTGTAAACATATACACATGGATTACAGCTTATTTTTTTAATATAAAAGAAGTAATAGATGCTAGAGAAAAAAAATTGATGCTATAGCAAATTATTTATATTAATTAGCATTTATAATAAAATGGAAAAACTGGCATTAGTTATTTCTAAGAAACAGTATCTCTTCGGCAAGATCTTTGTTGGAGGACCATCAATACGATTTGATAAACTTCAGAGCTGAGAAGAGTCTTTCCACACTGACTTGAGTAGGAGGAGGAGCTGTTACTGTTAGGGCTTAACTTCTTTTAACTTTTCAAGATAGATTTTTAGAAGTTCTAACAGAGATGTCTTGCAAGAGCAATCATATTTCTCTATTTCTTTAACCTTCCAGCGGGCGCGTATGTGTGACATACACTAGATATTATTTCGTATGTGTTTCGTAGACCAGAAGGCGCTATGACTGCATGTCCTTGGCTATTCTCTCCTCTTCGTTCGCCCATCTTTCAATCGTCTGCTGGATTTCGAGAGGTTAATGCAAGCCTGCAGATTTACTATTTGTATTCGAGAAATACGTGCGACCGTTGAAGTAAGTTTTTGTTATATCTAATTTTCTTTTTTATTATAGAAAATCTTTATTCTTTTGTGTCTAAATCTTATGATTTTGTATAATTTGTGTGCATAATTACTTTTAATGATAAAATAGAAGCACTGTATGCGTCACATACGCGCGACCATGTATGATATTTTTGTTCTTTTCTTTTCAGTTATGGCAAATAAAAGTAAAATGCTCGACATGAATGATCCGAAGGATCTTGAGTTATAAGAAATATGCTTTTATGTGACAGTGATGACGATGAGGACATTATTTTAGATGAAAGAATTACAGATGAAGAAGAGTGAATTTCAGAAAAAGGTGATTCAGAATCGGAGATAAGTGCAGAGAGAAATTCTGAAGAGGGAAATAATGATGATAATTTTTCCGAAGTGATATAGCTCATCAAATGAAAAACAGAAAAGTCATCGATGGAGGAATTTAAAGTAATAATGAACTTAAAGAGATTTTTGTTTTTACTAAGAGCTTTACGGCTTGATGACAAACACAAGAGCAGAACGAAGAGGAGTCTACCGCTTGGCTTCAATAAGAAACATTTTTGAAAAGTTTGTCTCTAATTGCCAGAAGTGCTATTCACTTGGAGAGAATGTCACAACCAATGAGAAATTAGAAGGATTTTGAGGAAGATGTGGTTTCATTCAATACATTCCCAAAAAACCGAACAAATATGGTATAAAAATTTATGCCATGGTAGACACCTCGTATGTTTTACACATACAATATGGAAATTTATGCTGGAGTGCAGCCAGATGGTAATGCTTTTTACATAAGCAACAAAACCACAAGATGTAAAAAGGTTGACAGAACCTATTCATAACACTGGAAAGAAATGTAACCACAGACAACTGGTTTTCAAGTTTTGAGTTAGTACAAGAAATAGATGAAAAAAATTGTCATTTGTAGGTACTTTGAAAAACAATAAACCTCAAATTCCAGTTCAGTTCAAGCTGACAAAAACTTGGGAACCCAATACGAGTCTTTTTGGATTTAGAAAAAATATGACACTTCTCTCCTATGTACCTAAACGTTATAGAAACGTCATATTGATTTCAAATCTTCATGATGACGTAGCAATAGATGAAAATACCCAAGACCAAAAAAAGCCTGAGATTATCACATTTTACAATCTTATCAAAGGAGGTGTGGATACAGTGGATAAACTCTGTGCTTCCTACAATGTTGCCAGGAACACCAGGTGTTGGCCTCTTGTAGTTTTCTTCTCTATGCTGAATATAGCAGCAATCAACAGCTATATAATTCATTCAACGAATAATAGTGAAAAATTACTTAGTAGGTAATATCTGCGAAAGCTAGCAAATGCTCTTGTGAAGGAAAACGTTGAAAGAAGAACCCCTAACTCTCTTCAGAGTTGAAATTTAAATTGTTGAAACGAAAAGCAGAATTAGCTGTTGTTGAAGAAATGACTTTAGTGAAAAAAAGATGCAAACCCTGCCAAAATGACAAGTATGCTAGAATTACGAGGTTTAGCTGTGAGATTTGTTTAGAATTCATTTGTCTAGAGCAGTGGTGCGCAAACTTTTTCCGACTGCGACCCCTTTTGTAGAGAGAAAATTTTTGGCGACCCCTAGAGATAAATGTTCACAAATACGATGTATATTTCGCGCATTTCTTTCGTTTCATCGAATAAAAACATCATCATATCTGACTCATATTAATTTTATTTATAATTTTAAGAAAATAATTTTTGTATAACACAAAAATCAGTAAATTGCCCTTTAATGAGATGTATGTGGCTGCAAGTTTCTAATTATCTCATCGATGTTTGGATGTATGTTGCTAATTGCAATTCGCGTATCATCTTCAGGGTTTAAACGCGAGCGGTATTTAGTTTTTATTGAAACTAGTTTGCTAAATCCAGTTTCATATAAATACGTTGATGCAAATTGTATTAACACTCTGATGGTCTTGCATAAAACGGGATATTGTTTTTCCACGGATAGCCAAAATTTTCGGCAAGGCTGCGTCTTAAATTGATTTCGAAGAGTTTAATCACTAATTAGATCTATCAATTGTTCTTTCTCAATAATTTGAAGAGTTGAACTGCATATGTCAAAGGAAAATGGATCACGAATCCAACCAAAATCGTTTTCAGGAAAATCCTCGAATCTTCTCGAAAAATTTTCCTTTAACTTTTCAATGTGATTGGAAATGATGTTTTTTAATGTAAATATATCTATATTATTTCCCTTGATAAAATTGTTAAAGCAAGGGAACATGTCGGTGTTGTTTTTATTCAGTTCCGCTTGCCAGAGACTAAGCTTATTCTTAAAAGCTTGAATTTTACTGGCTGAAGTTATGATAGTTCAATTCTCACCCTGCAAGCTCAAATTTAAGTCGTTAAGTGTTTCGAAAATATCAACTAAATAGCTCAGCTTCCCTAGCCAAACTTCATTGATATAATAACTTGCCAATCTATGTTTCTTTTCGATTAAAAACATGTACACTTCATTTCTCAAATCAAACATCCGTCGTAGTATTTTCCCACGTGAAAGCCATCTGACTTTGGTGTGTAACAGTAATCTCTCATACGTTGAGCCCACCTCATTGCAAAGTATTGAAAAGAGACGGCTGTTGTGGATGTTGCATTTAATGTAGTTAATTGAACTAACAGCGTCTTGTAATATGTTGTGCAACTCTTCATCCATATCTTTTGCAACAAGAGCTTGTAAGGATCTTAAGTTTTACTAACGTTTATTTTATTTTAAATCTTTACTATCACTTCTTATTTTCTACTTCCGGCCAGAATTATAAGCGTTAACTTATTTATGTAAATTTTTGTCTGGCGAATGCCAAGTACTTAAGTTGTGGCTTTTTGCCAAGCGAGAGAGAGGAAGGAGTTAATCGAAGCAGACCGCTTACCTTAGAAGTTTTACTTAGTTGCTGGTTGCCTTCCAGGCCAGAGGTTTAATCCTCTTGATAATTTTAAACGTATTGTAGTGTTAACAGTTCTCTGTACTACATACGGCTTCCTGTTAATATAAGGCCAATCTTCCACATTTATTATTTCAAAGTTAAGTTAGCGTTTAGTTATATTTTTATGTTCTTACGTTTAGACCACAAGTAGTGGGTCTTTGTATTCCGACGTACGGAAATTATTGTAAATAGAGAAAAATAAAGGGTTTTGTATACCTTCTTGTGTATCCTGTCTACTTCCCAGAGTTATTGAACATAGCTTTAGTAAGCTCTCTGTTCCGAGTCAGGTCCTTGCATGTTCCCAAAGAAAGTAAGACGGAACATTGAACCTGATAAGCTTGCCGATGAATCATACACAATGATTAAATACCATATGAAGAGCGACCTTCTGAATTAAGCCTCTGAGCCCTTTATTCGAACCTGTTAATGCTGCAGCACCATCAGTACAAACCGCAACATAGTTTGCCCAGGTAAGGGACTTTGTTTCAAAATATTCATTTATTACTTCGAATATTATTTCCCCAGTTGTTTTTTCTTCCAAACTTTGCAACATAAAAACGTTTCTGTTATATCTTCATTAAAAATAAACTAACGTAAATAATTAGTTGTGACATTATAGTAATATCGGTAGTCTCGTCCAGTTGTAAAGCAAATACAGATTAATTTTGTATGCGTTTTATTGACTTTTGACTCGATATTTCGTGACATATTTCGGAAATCATTTCGAAATCCGAGACACGGTATCTCTTGATAATGGTATTGTTTTTAGTTCATTTCCATATTTATCACCATGCATAATTTATGCCATCTTACCTTGCTGCAGGAAGGATAAGGGATTCTCCAATTGTATGGGGTTTCATTGTTTTTCCTATTAGATAAGAAACTTCTAAAGAAGCTCGTAATGCTTTCTGAGGTATTGTTGTAAATTTCTTTAAATGTGCACTTTGAATTTTCAGATTTTTAGCTCGTCTTTGAAAAAAATCGGCATGTTTATTTTGAAGATCTTTATGTTTAGTTTCCAGGTGCCTTTTCAATTTAGCTGGTTTCATGCTCTCATTTGCTAATTTTTCGTTGCAAATGACACATATCAGGCAGTTTTCATCATCAACAAGACAAAATGTAAAACCATACTTAATAAATTCCTCATTGTATTTTCTTATTTTTTTAGATTGGGCATTTAGTTCAGTATTTTGCGATTCCTCATCAGTATTTGTTCGTTTGTTAGCTGAAGATGTACCTGGTGTACGTATTACCCATTTATCCATTATGAAGATAGGGGTTAAAATTATTTAAACTAAAACAAATAATATATAAAATTTTAACATTTTTTTTCCAAGAAATTCAATAAAATTAACAGAGATCATTCTCTAATGATAGTACATACCTGATAACAAAGAGTAGCAAGCTCGATAAAAATATAAAAAATCATAATTACACATCGTCACATGATAAAACTCGAGGATAAACTAAAACAATTGCAGGCCAACTGCTACATGCTACAACTTCATGCGAACACTTCACGTCTTCACTCTGACTATCAGATACACCGCGTACCTCGCCATCTGATTGGCTGATCACGGAAGTGAATTTTTCCCCTTTCCCTGCGGTTAACGTCTAGTCTAGTCAAATAGGCGCTTTTCAATAAAACTGGCGAATTACCGCGAAGAGGGTGAGGGCGCTATCTACCGGAGTGAAAAACTTGCGTCTTCACACTTTACATACATTACGCATTACGGTCAAAGAAAGAGCGGACAGCATGAAATTGCAATTAAACAGTGAGTGACGGCGCTTCACTCTTTATAAGTACACTGTATGGTATGCAACATGCAGGCATAATGCATTTCATAAAAATTTGGGGACCCCCAAAAAAACTTCTGGCGACCCCTACAGGGTCGCAAACCCCCAGTTTGCGCGCATCACTGGTCTAGAGCACTGTAAACATAATTGTTCGGACTGCACCGATGCAATGAAGTGACTATGAAATTGATTTTGTTATGTAATATTTAATGTGGTTTTTCACTTACTGATTAAAAATATAAAAGTTCAGTTGAAATATTGGCAGTTTAATTTTGTTTTACTTTCAAGTTAGTTTGGTAAGTCTTTAGTCCATTTTGTATTTTTGTTTTTGCTTTGTACTTATTTTATTTTCCTTAATTTAAAGTTAATATTGTTTAACTCAATTGTACTTATTAACATTTAACTATTTACAAGCTAATTTTAATATTTTTGCTCTGTAAAATTTATTTTTTTATAATAGCGTATCTAAGAAATACGCGTGACCTTTCTTGTTAGTGCAGAAGGCGCGCCCGCTGGAAGGTTAAAGGCCGTGCAGAAAGAAATCTTGTTTCTATTTCTTCATTTTTATATCTAAAGGCTCTTGGTTCTTTATTTTCATTTGTTTTGCCTTAGCATTTTCAATATTATCCAAAAATATATCTCAAAATCTAATTCATCACTGGATTGGATTGGATTATTGTAATTTGGCACAAAACCTGTCAAGGTTATCTGCGCCAGACAAATGGTAACAATGCAATTAGTCATTTGTAAAAACTTCCAGCTTAGGTAAGAAGAGACAGATTAGAGTCTATGATAAGAGCTGATATCTTTTAAAAAACAGGTTAAAGTCTATTATAAAAGCCAATATCTTTTAAAAACAGAAACAAATTATGATGATGTGCTTTTCCAATTAAATTTCCTAAGTCCAGTTCTGAACAATTAAAATGTTTTTGGCAAAAATAATTAAAACTCTGGCATTCCACCAAGATATGATGGACTGCCAGATCTGCATTGCAGTTTGGGCAGCTTTGTCATCCCACTGCTTCTGCCATTTGCTGAGGATTTTGCTTTCGACAAACCCTTTGATGTCTGTTAGTGGAATCTGAAGATTGTACATTGTGGTTGCAGTTTTAGCTGCAATATCTGCCAATTCATTCCCCTTAATGGCAACGTGTCCAGGGATCCACGAATATAGAATCTGGTATCCCCGAATTTTTAAAGAATGATTCAACTTTAGGATTCTGATTGCAACTGGATGAGTACATTGAGCGTGATTTTTCAATGACATTAAGGCACTCATGGAATCTGTGTAGATAATAAATTTTATGTACTTTTGTTTTGAAAGGTAAGTCAAAGCGAGATGGATTGCAGTAAGTAAGCTCAGAAGTAAGCACACAGCAAACTGTATGTAATCGAAACCCTACTATTGTTTTTTCTGTGACGAAAGCAGCGCCAAAATGATCCTGGGATTTTGATCCGTCTGTATATAGAGGGATATATTTCCTATATTTGTTTCTATGTTGAAAAAAAAATCTGCTTGTAGATGATTTCATTAGTTTGTGATTTATTCCAGTGTCGAAAAGTATCCAGAGAATGGATTCTCCAATCCTCCCAGGGAGGAATTCCAAAAAAATCCTCCATCCGTATATCTATATTCGACAAATTATACTCCTCCACCAAAGCACTCATCCGCAAGCCGAAAGATGGGACACATGATGGTCGTGCCTGATATAAACAGGAGTATTGGTCATTAAGCAATTTTGACCGCATAGAATTTTCGGTTTGTGATAAGACTTTGAAATAATGCTTAAAACAAAGATTTTCACGTCTTAACCGCAGGGAGGTCTCCTTACTTTCCACATATAAGCTTCCCACTGGAGAAGTTCTAAAGGCTCCAGTGCATATCCGAAGTGCATGGTGATGTATCGGATCAAGTTTGGCTAATACTGAAGGCCTTGCCGACCCATAAATGATTGATCCATAATCTAGTTTTGAACGAATGAGAGCTCTATATATAAGAAGCATTGAGCTTTGATCAGCACTCCAAGAATATTTATAGTTTTTAAACATTTCTTTTTTAGATAGGTAATATGGGGGAGGAACGTAAGCTTATGGTCAAATATCATTCCTAGGAATTTTATTTCCTTTGCTACAGGAATCAGCACATCTTGCAGATAAAGTTCGGGGTCAGGGTGAGGAATTTTCTTTCGACAGAACTGTACACACACAGTCTTTTGAGTAGAGAATCTAAAACCATTTTCCTGTGACCATTTAACAATTCTATTGAGAGAAGTCTGCAATTTACATTTGATGTCTTTCAGGTCTTCTCCCCTGACTTGCAGGTCATTGACATAGAGCATACCCTGGACTGCTGGAGGCAGCTGTTTTAAAATAGAGTTAATTTTTATACTAAATAATATAACACTTAATACACTTCCTTGTGGAACGCCCTCTTCTTGATGGAACATGTCAGAAAGTGTATCGCCTATCTTCACATGAAACTTCCGATCCTGTAGGAAATGTTTGATGAATATTGGCATGTTTCCTTGTAAACCATTGTTATATAGGTCACGAAGGATACCATATCTCCAGATGGTATCATAGGCTTTCTCTATATCAAAGAAATGGAAAATAATGATTTCTTCTAACGAACGCTCTACGGATACCTGTTTCTAAGAGTAGGATATTATCGATAGTTGCTCTTTCTTTTCTAAAACCGTTCTGATAAGGGGAGATACAATTATTTGTCTCTAAATAATAAACCAGATGAGTGTTGACCATCTTTTCAGAGTTTGCAGAGGCAGCTAGTAAGGGCGATGGGACGGTAATTCGACGGATTAGTAGGGTCTTTTCCCGGATTAACAATGGGGATGACAAAAGCTATTTTCCAGGCATTTGGAATGACTTGTTCCTTCCATACTCTATTAAAGAGAAAGAGGATGGTTGCCAATGACTTGGAAGGAAGATGTTTCAGCATAGGATAGGCAATATCATTTGGACCAGGACATGGATTTTTTGTCTGCAACAGAGCTCTTTTCAGTTCAAGCACAGTAAAATCCTGATTATATGGTTCAGTATTGGGAGAGAGTTGAAATTAATTAGTTGTTTTTTCAATGCATTTTTTTTTTTTTTTTTTTTTTTTTTTGCAAAATATCTGCTTGTAGATGATTTCATTAATTTGTGAACTAATTCATCACTGAAAGAGGATGATAGAGACTAAGTTGCAATGTGTGCAGTTTGTCTGTCCGTCAAACTTTCTGGATTTGAATACTCCAAATGTTCTGAAAAGAATTTCATTCTTATTGAAAGTTCATATATGGCTTTCTTTGCCTTCTTAATTCATTCGTCATTCAAAAAAATCAGTGTTTTGGATCTACATATATTGAACCCAGCAAGATCTCATTGTCTAGCCCACTAGTTTCTCTTTTCTTTATTGAAGAAATAATTCCTTCTGCAATAAACCCTCCATTTCAGAAAGAACAAACATCACATTCTTCCATTCTCACCCCCTGTTAATTTTTCAGATTGTAGCTTTTTTGTGGCTATGTACAGTGTAGAAAGAAAAGTTTCTGATTCTGGAAGATCATTCTACAATCTTTCTGTTAGTGAAACATTAGAGTTATGTGCATCTTCTAAAAAACTTCTTAGAATTCTAACAACCTCTATATCATCAAATATGTACTTCCTCATTACGTTGCTTGATCAATAATTGCTCCTTTTCTGGCATCAACTTTGGGAGTTCTTGCTGCTATTGCTGCTTACCTAAGTTTACCAGGGAGATTTGTACCTAAATGAATCAGTTTAGTCACTGATGGCAAATATCACATCCATCCTCCTTCCTTATATTTATTTATTTATTAATATGTGAATAAAATAGAAAATAACTATCTATTAATGTATATAGTGCATTAAGAAAAAATAATAACTCAGTTTGTCATTAATTTGTTTTTCAATTCACTTTAATTTCATTTCAAATTCAAACTGTCCAACAAAAACTGGAGTCAGAGTCGACCTGTTTTTAGCAACTCCAACTCCAACTCCTTTTACCCCGAAATCTGGCCCAATTCCGATTCTGACTCCGACTCTGACTCCCCAGCCCTGCTAAAAAGTCCAACATCTTTACATTTAGTGACTTCTGTTGGGTCAATCAAGTTCAGCAGTTCTGAAAGTTCAGCAATTTTATGATGATAAATACAAATAAAGCAGCACAAAAGCATAAGAAAATTTCATAGAATCAATAATGCACTATTTTGTTCCATGACGTTTTGTCATCTCTCAAGCAGCTGGAAAATTCTTTTTTTAACCCTTTGATGGTTATGAACGAGTTCAGCTCGCAATCGAATCATGCTTCATAATGCGCACAAACGAGTTCCGCTCGGGAGAAAGATTTTGACCGAAATGGTTAGTAACGAGCACTACTCGCGTAGTGAAATTTTTCCCCAATGCGCGCTGACGAGCTGACTTCGTTCGCCATTATTATTCTGCACTGATTGTGTTTCAAACGAATTATTAAACGAATTTAGTTAGTTTTACTGTCTACAGATAGCAGTACGAGTTCCATGAATTTCTTTGCATAATGAAGGTGGATTTTTTTTTTTACCTTGTTCATTTTATACGTTTTTTGGCGCGGTTTTTAGGGTGTTTGTGCAGTAAAATGGCTCAAAAGCGAAAGTTAGATAGTTATGATGATGATTATGATTGTGATACAGAAAGCTTATCAAGTTTTGAATCTGATGAAGACTTTGTTCACAGTATTTCAAGCTCAGAAGACGATTCAAGCGATGAGGAAGATTTTTCGAATGTTCGACAGTGGTGTATAATTGATTCAAGTTCTCACGTTCCTAGCCGATTTAGTTTTTCTGGTGATGTAGGCATGAAAGCTTGCGTGACAAATATTTCTGATCCACTAGAGTATTTTGAGCTGTTTTTTACTGATGAGATTATAAATCATATTGTTATGGAAACCAACATTTTTGCTGCTGAAAATTTAAATAAATTTAAGAGCAAAGAATACTATGATGTAACCCGATCTCGACAAAGAAAATATTACAAGAAAATATTTCGTTATTTATTGGACATAACAATTTTTAATGCTTTTCAGCTGTGGAAAAAAAAAAAAGGGAATAAAAAATCAAATTTGGAATTCAGAATTGAACTAGCTGAAAGAATTGTTGAGAAATATCACACTCATAGACATTTGAAATTAAAACCTGCTGAAACAGTTTCGAATACTTTTAAGATTGTCAGCACGCCACTTTCCTGATTATATTCCACCTACAGAAAAAAAGAAAGAACCTACTAGACGATGTGTGGTATGTTGCAGCAAAAATGATGCTAATGGAAAAAGAATTCGCCATGAAACACGTACGTATTGCAAAGACTGTAATGCCCCATTATGTGCAATTCCATGTTTTAAAGTATATCACACACAAAAATATTTTTAGGTAATTACTGTATTTATACTGTGCTTCATAAAGTTTACATTAGTTGTATTTATTTAGTCCTTTCAATTTAATATTTGTCTTATATTTATAATTAACTATTATTATTTATATAATTGGTTATAATCATTTATAATTTACTGTTTAATAATTATTTTAAAGTATGTAAAAACTGTTATTTATGTACTACAAATACTTTTTAAAACACGCGAAGAAAAGAAAATTTTTAAAACGCGCAAAGCGAGCTATCTACGGCATCGCCAGAAAAAGGTGACATTTTCGGAAGAATGGCGGGGGGGAAAACAGCTGCCACTTTCGACTACTGTTTACTCCTAATGCTGCACGAATTAAGTAAACGGAAACTGCTCATTTCCATAACCGTCAAAGGGTTAAAAAAAACATCACTAGGCTTATTCATAAATAAGTTATTGAGGTGGTATTTGACAGTCTCCAAACAAATGAACTCCAAGCCATTCAAATAATTCTGAAGTGAACCAAAGAGATGAAAAAGTGAGGACACAAGGTCTAGTGAATATAAGGCGAGGTAACACAAAACATTCCATCGATACTCAGGAAGTGTAGCATTTATTACTATGCAAAGCGGAGCATTGTTATGATGAATGACGACTGGTTAAGTTCTGGGCACTTGTTTTGATTTCTGCTTTTAAAACTGTCATTTGGAAAAGCATTTTCCCAGAATTATTGTCTGATTTGGTGGCAACAGTTCATAAAACACAATTCCTTTGAAGAACATGGATTTTCAACAATAGTTGAATGCCCTTGTTCACACAGAATAGACATTTAAAGTATGTGTAATCTTCGAGGATGAAATTTTTTCGAACTGTACCATGAGAAACACTATTTTGTTGATATACAGCACAAATTTTATGAGCAAGTTTGACTAGGACTTTTCTTTGTTTACTTTTTAAAAAAAATAAAGTATAATATGATGGAAATGAACTTTTGGATTCTTCATTCTTAACAATGGCACCCAAAACAAAAATTAC